AAATATATTTTAAAAATGTATTAAATAAAAAATAATTATTAAAACCCTAAATTATTATTATTATTATTTAAATTAAAATAATATTTGATTATTTTTTTTTTTCTAAAACCCAAATATTTTTCAAAAAATAAAGATATTCTATGCATTTTTTTTTTTTTATATATACAAAACTTTGAAGTTTAAATATATGATTTTAGTGGTTAATATGTTAGTGTGAGCGTGGGTGAGGGTGAGGGTGAGGGTGATATTGTGTGAATGTGGTTTTGGGTGTGGTGGTGTGTGTTTTTTTATGAGTGTGGTTTTTTTTTTTTTTTTTTTTTTTTAAAAATTATATTTATTTATCTTACACATACACATACACATAAATATGAACATAAAACTTTAAAATTTTTTTTAATGATTAATTTTGGGGACTAAAAAAAAAATAATATTCTTTAAAAAGGTGGTTATATCCTAATTGAGAAAAATGATATGTGTATACCATTATTTGAAATTGGTAAATAGAAAACATCTACCAAAAATTATTTTAAAAAAAAAACAAAAAGGATAGGAAGAAGAAAAAAACAAAAAAAAAAATAATAAAAAAGATATATTTAAAGATATATAAAATTGGGTGTTTATTTATATCAACCACAGGATGTGTTTATTAATAAAATAGGTAGATTTTTATGATAATAAACACCACAACAATAACAACAAAAACTTTTATATTGACATAATATACCTTTAAAATTGGTTTTAAGTGGATATTTTTTTTATAAATTTATTATAATGATAGTACTGAAAAAAAAAAAAAGTATTAAAAAAGATAACATTATTTTACATTATTTAAACTATTTTTAAACATTTCTTTTAAAAAAACAAATATGGTGAAAACAAAATAAGCAATAACACCAATCTAAAGATTTAATAATCTCTTTACGATCAATTATTAAAGTTATTTATGGTATAAAAAAATATTGCTATTTTTAATTTTTTTTAATTTTTTTTTTTTTCAATTTATTTTGTTGGTATTGATTACATTAAAAATAATGATTTGGATTGAAGGTTTGTTTTTTATTTCAATCAATTATATCCATGTATTATATATATTATTCTATTTTTTTATTTTATTTTATTAATATTATTATAATAAACAAAACTATGAACCTAGTTTAAAAAATATTTTTTGATAAAATTATTTTATGGGTGATTCGAGTTAAATTAAAAATTAACAAAAAAAGAATAAACAATGATATTGGTATTTATATATTGTGTATTTAAAATTATTTTATATATCAACATTAAAATCCAATTGTTTTTTATAAATTACCTTTTTTAGATATTTGTTGATGTTATTGTTAAAATTGTATCAGTTATTAAATTTTGATTTTATATTAAATGATAATTATTTATGTAATGATATTAAATGTAAATGACCTGATTTTAAACCCGAGTTTAATTTTAAGTTATTGAAATTTAATATTTTTAAAAAATATCAAATTAATAAAAAAAAAAAAAGAAAAAAAAAATATAAAAAAAAAAAGATAAATTATTATTTTTTATTTATTTTAATATTGATACTAAATAATTAAATTTAATATAATTATTTTTAAAAATATACTTCAAGTGAGCACATACATTTAAGTAATTTTTTTAATTTTTATTTTTATTTTTTTTTAAAAAATATAATTAAATAAGTTAGGGTGAGGAAAATGGGATATATATTAAATTATATGATATGTATGTATGCATTTGTGTTTATGAGAAAAAAATAATTTTAGTGTGTTTATTTTCTCTTAATAGAGAGTGATCTCTTTCTGCTATTATATTATATTTATTTACTATCAAAAGAGCAATCACTGGGTGGGTATTTCTATTTAAAGAATTATATATAAAATTAATATTGTGTTGTATTTTTTATTTGTATTCATAAATTAAAAGCATTTTTTGTGCAAAATATATAATATATTATTTTATAACTATATTTTTATGTGGATGATAGATTTATTAATACTTGTAGTAGTTGTAAAAACTAGAAATTTGTATACTCTTCATTTTTTTACATATAAATCGATGATGCATTTTAAATGTTTTAATGTGGTAGATAAAAAATTATTGTGAAATAGTGTGAGTATTGAAATTGTGTGAGTGTGTTAGTCAAAAAAAATACAAATTTTAAATAAATACTTAACTTTTTTTAACACTAAAACTCACACCCACTCACTGTTTTTTTTTTTTATCTAACAAAAATTACACCAAACCACACCTAAAAATACATAAATTCCAACACCAACTCTTTCTTTCACTTATTTGTTCAAAAAAAACATATGAAAACTCCAATATCCTCATACATTAACTTTACAGATTATATTAAAATAAATCATTAAAAAAAATATATTAGTTTCTTGTTATAATTACTATTGAAGTTAATTAGTGTTAAATTGAAAATAAAAGTTTTCATACTTATTATATTAAAGGGAAGACAGGATATAGTTCTTTGTAAATTAAATTAATTAAAAATTAAAATTAAATTAAATTTAATATAATTTAAAATTAAATTATCATTTAATTATTTTTTTATCCCAATAATACAAATTAATAAAAAAACAAAATTTGATTAGTTTTATTAAAACAGTAGAAAGAAACTGAAGTAAAAAAAAAAATTTGGTAATTCATATTGGATCAATATTTTTCAGTTTTATTTATATAAATTTTTTGTTATATATCACACAAATAAATGATTAAAAACTTAATTTACTAATTTTTTATTTATAAAATATTTAATTTGGAAATTTTTAATATGGGAAATCGTTTTTGTTTCATCAACCGATGGACATTGGAATTGTAAGAACTTTGTTAATAGTTAATAATAAACCTTGATATTTAAATTTTAAAATTTTATTATAATCATTTTTTTTTATAAAATTAAAACCCAAAAAAAAATTTGAAAAAAAAAAAATTAATAAAAAATTAAAAAAAAAATCATTTTTATTTAAAATATATTTATTTGAAAAAAAAAAAAAAAAAAAAAAATTTTATATATATTTTTTTTTATTAACTATTGTACTTTATTTTATATTTCTGTATTAATCTATTTTATTTTTATAATCAAACTATTTATTTATTTATTTATTTATTTGTTAATTTATTTATTTATTTATTTATTTGTTATTTATTTATTTTTCTATCTTTTCAATTTTATTTATTCAATATTTATTTGTACTATAAAAAACAAAAAAAAATATATAGGGATACCAATAATGGAGATTTTAACACAAGCCGAAAGAAGTAAATAAAAAAAAAATAAAAAAAATAATAAACAATACCCTAATATCATTATTATTATTTAAATAATATATAGAAAACATAGATATTTATTTACAACAAAAAAATGAAGATGAGAACTATCTTCAAAGAGTTGAAGTTAAGGGAAAGAAGGCAAGGAAATTATTTTTTATTATAGGTAATAACAGAGTTTTCTTTTTTAAAGTTGGTGGAAAGATTGAAATTGACTATCATTTCTTGGATATTTTAGAACTAAAGTCTGATGGTATTAAAGAGGTAATTATTATTATTATTATTATTATTATTATTATTATTATTATTATTATTATTATTATTTAAATATTAATCTTATTAATTAAATTTTTATATTAAAAATAGATACAATTGAAATTTAGAAATGATGGTGGCAAAGAACCATTAATATTTGGATTGGAACAAGAATCAGATTCAGCAGAAATTATTTTAGCAATTGATTATTTATTTACATTAAATTTCCCATCAATGCAAAATAACAGATTAAAGATTATTGTACCAGAACCAAAAAGAACAGAAATTTATAGCTCACCAAATGCATTAATCCCAGAGGTTGGAGTATGTAATGGCTTTACCCAAACTTACTTTTCATTATGCGATTATTTAAATATACAACCAATTAGTGAAGTTTCTTGGCACATTGAAAATGTTATTGGCGATAAAAGTGATATTAAAGATTTTGACTATGGTTTCTTCTTCAAAAAAGATAGAATTATTACCATTGATGCTAAACCAATTATGCAAGCTTTGACAATTAACAAATACTTTACCTCATTTTCAGTAAACAATATAAAGTTATCAAACGAATGGTGAGTATTATTTTTTTTTTCAATATTATTTTTATAAAATAATTAACTTTTTTTTTATAAAATAACCATTAGTATTCAATCAATTATTCAACTAGTTTCACAAAATACATGTTTTGAAAAAATATGTTTAAATGGAATTGGTTTAGATAGATCTGCAACTGAAAAATTAATAGAATCATTCAATACAAATAAAGCATTAAAACTTAAGGAGTTAGATCTTGGTAATAATAATATTGAAGTAAATATTTCATAATAATCTATCAATAAATAATTATTATAAATACATAATACTAATTAAAATATATTTTTTATAGGATAAAGGCATGACATTATTATCAGAATATTTAAAAACAACACATTGGGAATTATCAACATTAATTCTAAATAACTGCTCAGCAGGTAGATCAGCAATGGCACATTTAGGTGATGCAATTACATTCAATGAAAACATTCTCAGAAATTTAAAATATTTAGATGTTGCTTCAAATAGATTGGAAAGTGATGGCTCGGTAGCATTTTCAAAATTATTAGAAAGATCAAAAACCCTTCAAACCTTTTTAATTTCTAATTGTAACCCCCAGTTCCACCAATGGACCAAAGTATGCATTTCATTGAACAAGTTTGATAACAGTGGTAATAGAATCACCCGTAAAGATAACATCCATAGAGATATGATTAGTTTTTTAAATCACTCAATTTATCTCAATAATTTAAATCTTTCAAAGTGTCAAATTCCAGTAGAAGCTGTTGCAGATATTTTTGGAGAGGGAAACCTTGTCAAAATGGAAACTCTCAATGTCTCAGATAATGATTTAGGTGATGAAGGCATCTCTACTCTTTGTGATTTAATGGCCAACCATCCATCGATTAGATCACTCAACATCTCTGGCAATTTTAATAGAAGAAGCAAAAATAGAACAAATGCAATCGAATCAATTATTAACATGTTGGAAAAGAAATCAAAGACCCATAACTCTATTCGTTCACTCTCTATCCAAGGTTCGGGCAAATCCCAATTAAAGGGTGATCTTCTTCCTATTGTTTGCTCTATCTTTTATAATGGATCATTAAAAGAGTTGGATATAAGTGGTCATTCTAGTGGTGATATTTTTGCAGCCTCAGTCGGTAAACTTTTACAATGTAATGCTGGTTTAGAAACTCTTTATTTAGATGACAACTCAATTACTAGTCGTGGTTTACAACTAATTAAGTTTGGTTTAGCTAGAAACTCTACTCTCACACGTTTACCTTTACCAATTAAAGATATTGCCTCCGCATTAAAAGCTGATGCCACACCGGTTAATCTTCAAAAGATAACTGAAGTATCTACCGAAATTCAACAAATCATTTTAGATAACTACACAAATAGAACTATTCAATCAAATACATCCCTTAGAGATTCTCAACCAAAACAAATTTTAACTAAATCAAGAGCTTCCTCAACACCAATTGTAAATGATCCAAAAGCTACAGTCGCTACATGTGCTGGCCTAAAATCATTTATTTCAATTGATACTGAAGTTAATGAACCATTGGCAAATGCTAATTTAATTGTAAATTAATCATCATAAATAAACTATTATCATTATAAATAAAAAACTCCTTTTTTTTTTTTTTAATACATGTTTTATTTATTTATTTTTTTTTACCAAATAGAAAAAATGGTTTTGGGTGGTTTTTAAAAAGATTATTACTATTATTATGTTTGCATTATTATTTATTATTTGTTTATTTTATTGATCAAGAATTCTTAAATTACCAGAGACTACCTTGTTTTCAAATTCAGCACCTTGTGGTAAATCTATACGATTTCCTGCTGGAGCAACAATAATAACAGTACCTTTGAGAACCATATCTGAGCCAAATGTTACATCACCAGAAACAGTGAGTTGGTCTAATTCAAGGATATCTGGAATACCTTTAATACGAGCTTGATAATCTGATACTTTTTTGAAGAGATCTCCCAATTTGACTAATGGAACAGTATTGAATGGTCTATTTTTATTCATAACAAGTACACCATCTTCAAGTGAATAAAGATTTGATTGGACAATAAAAAGATCTGATGTTGATTTGACTGGTAAAAATCTTGATCTTGGTACATTAACACCACGAGCATTATTAAAGAATTCTATAGCAGCACCAGCAGCAATTTCCAATTGGATAATACTCTTACCATCTGCAACTTTTGGATTGATAATAATATCCATATCGTCTAATAGATTTTCTTTTAATACACGATCAATAGCTTTTAAGTTGACCCAAATGTTGTTGGTATTGAAAATCTTGAATTTTTTGATTGATTTAAACTCTTCAACTTTATTTGATGGTACTTGAGCAATTTCTAATAATTTAGCTTTACCCTCATATTCAATTAATGTACCACCTTTAACATCAGCTCTGGTTTTGTTTGTAACTTCCATAATATATTCACATTTTTCTTTATCCATAGTATTTAAAATATCTAAAAAAAAAAAGATAAAATTAATATTTGGACCATCCATTATATTATTTTAAATATAACTTACTGAAATCGACAACGGCACCAAGATTATCAACATTTGAGATGAATAAATACTCTTTACCTTCATTGAGGAGTGTTTCTAAGAGACCACTATTTTGTAAAGCAAAGAAAACGTCACCATGACCTGGTGGATACCATTCAGAGTCATTACCAAACAATTTATCTGGGACTGGCATTAAACTATCTTTTAAGATTCTTGGGAAACGTGATTGATTGAATGAATGAATCTTAACATCTGAATATTTATACTTTTGAATGATTTTACCAGTTTCTTGATGAGTGTTGAATGAATTCATTAATACTAATGGTACTTTAATATTATATTTTTCATTCATTTCCTAAATTAAAGAAAAAATGTTAATATAACGAACCAATAATAAATCGACAACCCTCTAATATAAATATTATTTACCTTAATTTGTTGTACTGTTAAATCTAAAAATGTTTTTTCACTTCTAACCTCAATTACACTCTTTGGACCAGTGCAACCCATAGTAGTACCCAAACCACCATTTAATTTTAAGACAGCTAGTTTAGAGGCGAGTTCTGATGTTCTTTCATGAGAGATTTGTGGGAGATCTTTATAATTTAAAACCATTTCATTTGGTGGTGGTTTGATTTTCTCCCAATCAATAACCTTCTTTCTGTTCTTGAGGAATCTGGTGAATAGCTTATTGATTGAAGAAACTTCTTTATTTAAAAATTCCTTTTTAATATTTTCATTTGGTGCAGTTTGTCCAATTGACTCTAATTTTTTTACAAACTGGTCCTCAACTGCAAGGTCTGATGATCTATTTCCAAATGATTGAAGTTGTGGTGATTGTGGCAATGGTGAAGTTGTGCTTTCTTGTTTCATCATTCTTTCTTTTATTTAAAATATAATTGTGATGTAAGTTTTTATTTTTTTTGATTTATAGAAAAAAAAAGAGAAAGTTATTAATAAAAAGAAAAAGAAATAAAAAAATTAAATTAAATTGATATTAATAAAAAAAATAAAAAAATAAAAAAATAAAAAATAAAAAAAATAAAAAAAAATTAATTAAAATAAAAAATAAAAAAAATATTATAATAAATATAAAATTCTTTTAGAAAAAAAATAATTACTATTTAACTAATAAACTATTTGTTGATAATAATAAAAATTAAAATTAATTTATAGGGAATTGATGGTATTAAAAAAAAAAAAAAAAAAAAAAAATGATTTTTTATATTAAAAAAAATATTTGAAAAAAAAAAAAAAAAAATTAAAAATAAATAAATAAATATAAAAATGATTAAAATCCCAATGTGAAAAAAAGTATCTTTATTTTTTTTTTTAATTTTTTTTTTAAAAAAATCACATATTTAGCTTTTGATATAAGACACATATCTTTTATTTGTTAATTATTGTTAACTTTTACTTTTTTGTATATAAAATTTAATATACTTTAAGATAGATATACAACATATAATAAATTTAAAAGTATAGTGACATAAAATACTATTTAAATATAAAAACAAAAATGATTTTTTTTTTTTTATAGATTTAAAAGTAATTACAATGTAGAAATAACACACACAAACAATTTAAAAATTATAAATACTAAAAAGAATATGATAAAATAAAATAATGAAAAAAAGGAAAAAGGAAAAGATATCATACCAATTTGTGTGAAAAGGGTGTAATATTGATATGATCAAATAAATATTTAATATGTTGTTATGTGGTGAATGTTGTGGTTGAACTACTAATAATAATATGGATGTTATAAAAACTGAAAAAAAATTTGTAATTTTTTTATTTTTAATTTATTGTCAACAAAGACAATGATAATATAAACACAAATATGATATTAAGTATTTTTTATTATCAAATTAAAAGTGATTAATCTTTTAAAGGTTAAAAAGATTTGTATAATTTAAAATTAAATCTATTAAATAATTGTAATATAATAATTTAAAATATTTTTAATAAATTATTTATACATGTAATAAAATTTAAAAGAAATAGAAACAATATTTATAAAATTATTTTATTTATTTTTGAAATTTACATTTACAAATAAATATTATAAAGGATATTGTTATTAATTTATAAAATTAAAAAAATTGATTATATTGAAAAAATTATTTTGATAATAATAAAATAATTCAAAAAAAAAAAAAAAATATACAAAATGGTGTGTAAAATTTTTAACCTCTGTATAGACAATTGTTTTATATTATTGATGTTTTAAAATTAATATACTGATATATTGAAATTTCCCACACAAAAAATAAGTTAAAAAAAACAAAATAATACTATTGGACAATTAAAATAAATTTTTTAAAAAGAGTTTTTTTTTAAAATAATTAAAATGTAGTTAAATTTCTGATACAAAAAATTGATTATAAAAGTTTAAAAAAAGATAAATATACATACCCTAAAAAAAAAATTGAAAAAATCAAAATTAAATGAATTTATTCAATACTATATTATTATTGTAAAAAAGATAAACACAATGATATATTATTATTTATAAAATTCTAATGTTACTTTATTAAAGAAAAACACAATTATAATAAAAAAAATAAATAAAAAAAAAATAGTTATATTGTTTTACACCAATAAAATTAAAATATTTATATATTTTTTTTTAAAAAATTTTATTAAATAATGAAATATAATTAAAAAAAAAAAAAATAAAAAAAAAAAATAAAAAATTAATAATTTTTAATGAGGGGTGAATAAAATATTTGTACATATATATATATATACATATATATTTTGTTGTGGAGGTGGGTTTGTTTTTATTTTTGAATTAAAATATATATATGTAAATATTAAAAACTTTTTAATATGGCAATATGGGGTTTATCATATAAATTTTTAATTAAACTACCACAGCAAAGGTTTAAAATATTAATTTGGTTGGGGTTAAAATAAAAATTAAAAAAATAAAAAAAAAGTTTGTTTTGATTTAGAAATCATCCCAATAATTTTAAAGTAGCAGTGGGGTTTAAAGAATGAAATAATATATTATTAATACTTGATATTATTAAAAATTTCAAACCCATCACTTTCATAAATTTACAAATATGTAGTTAATCAAAAAAAATATTTTTATGATAAAATTTTAACAAAGATTTAAAAAATATCTTAAAATTTTAAATAAAGATTTATTATTATTATGAATGATTAAAAATATTTTAGTTTTAAAGAAAAGTGAGTTACTTATTTTCTTTTTATTTTATTTTTCATTTTTACAAGATTAAAAAAGTTTTATATTATTTATCTATTTTATTTATTTATTTATTTATTTATTTAATATATTATTTTGATTCTTTTTTATCTTGAACTTTTTGTGGTTTATTATTTCTATTTAAATTATTTTGTTTTATATTGGTATTTTGTTGTGGTTGTGATGGTTGAGATGGTTGTGGTTGTGGTTGTTGATTGTTAAAATTAAGAGTTATTTTATTATTTGAGTTATTTAAATTATTTGGTCTTTTAAATGGTTTATTTTGTTGACTATTGTTATTATTGTTATTGTTGTTGTTGATAGAGTTTCCACTATTATTTAATTTTTGTTGACGGTCGCCTTTTTTTTCCTCGATCTTAATAGAGTTACCACCAACATTTATTTTATTATTTTGGATTGCTAAAACCTTTTGTACTGATTCAGGTTTATCAAACTCTACAAAGCCGTAACCTTGTAAAAGTTTTACACTTTGAACATTACCGTATTCTTTGAGAGCCTCTTTAATTAAATTTTGATCGATTTTGTTGTTGGAATGTTTGAAGCTAATAAAAACAGTGCATTGTTCACGATTATGGTGATGGTTTTGTGTTGATTGATTTGGGCTTGAAGCTGTTTGTTGTGGCTCATCCTTTGTTGTGGTAGTTGATGGAGATGGTGATGAGGATGAAGTTGCTGGTGGTGGTGATGTGGTAACACTAGCAGTTGAGTTTGATTCATTTTGAGTAGTTGAAGCTTTTTGTGAAACCAATTGAGCCCATGTTTCTTTCTTTTCTACGACTGGAGCAGGGGTAGAAACCTCAACAACTGGAGTAGCTTTTTTTTCTTCGACAACTGGAGTAACTTTTTTTTCTTCAACAACTGGAGTAACTTTTTTTTCCTCAACAACAACAACTGGTTCAATTGGTTTGGTATCTGGTTGTGGTTGGATCTCTGAGGTTTTTTCTTCTTGTTTTTCAACAACAGTTTCAGTAGTTTGATTTTCAACAACAGCTTCAGTAGTTTGTTGTTGTTGTTGTTGTTGGTTTTGTTGATTTTGTTGTTCTTCAACAATTGAAGCTTCATCTGGTTGATCAATAGTTTCTTTTGGTTGTTGTGGCTCTTCAAATGGAACAATATAAAAAGTATCGTTGGTAATAAAGAATGAATTGTCAATTTTCTTTAAAACGAAATATTGTGAAAAAGTTCTAGTATGACCATTGTATTCAAGTTGACCTAAACAAGAGATAAAAAGAGATTCTTCTTTTTCTTCTGAAAAAGAAGATTGACAATCGATATATTTAATTTTAGTGTGTCCACCAATTTTGTTTGAATTTTTAATTAAAAATTCACCAAGCTAAAAATATAATGGAAAATAAAGAAAATAATATTAGTATTATATTTTAGAGAAAAAAAAAAAAAAAAAAAAGTGGATTTTTGTGAATTTTTTTTTTTGTTTATTTCCGTAAAAAAATAAAAAAAAAAAACAAAAACAAAATTTGAAAGTATTTGTATACATACATCGTGCTCGCCTTCATTTGAAACTGATGTTGCACCATCGTATCTTCTGGTTACTTTTGAGGTGTTTTGGTAAAATAAAATTAATTCTTGTGGTGATTTAACTAAAGAAGTAAAGTATTTGACTAAAAAGTTTGCTGCAATACTACTATTAATCTTTTGCATTTTATCTGTCATACTATTATCAATCTTTTGCATTTTATTATATAAATATCTAAAAAAAAAATATTTTAATTATTGTAATGAAACTTTATTTAAATGAGTTATTATTTATTTTTATACTTTAAATAATAATACAACTAATAACACACTATTATGAAGGGATTATTATTAAATTTTTTTTGTTGATCTAGTTATAGAATATTTATATAAAATTTTTTTAACCCACTAACACTAATAACAAAAAAACACACACAAAATGATAAAAAAAAAAAAAAAGAAATAAAAAAAAAAATTTTAATAAAAAAATTTTAAAAAAAAAAAAAAAAAAAAAAATTAAAAGATTTAAAAAAATAAAATTTTTTTTTTTGATTTATTTTTAAGAAAATTGTAAATATAACGATTTAAGGTAAGATAGTGCCCACAGAGGCACTGTTTATACGTATATTTCCTTTGTTTCAATATTTATAAAAAAAAAAAGAAATGGTTTATTTTATAATAATGAAGTTCATTGCATTATTGTGAACTATTATTTATTTTTTATTTTTTATTTTTTTTGTGTTTTTTTTAAAATTTAAATTTTTTTTTTTTTTTTTTTTTTTTTTTTTTTTTGTTAAATTTTTTCTTTTCCTTTTTTTTTTTTAAAAAATATTAAAAAAGAATGGAAATTTAAATTTACGGGTATCCTTATAGCCCCCATAAAAAAAATAAAAAAAGAGGGGATAAAAAATCATTCCAAAATGATTTGGCATTTTTTATTACGGGAACAAACCCCCCCGTTTTAAGTGTAAGTATATCCATAATATACTAATCCTAAAAATCTTAATGTTTACTAATTTTATTTTATATTTATTTATTTATTTATTTTAGAAAAATAAAATTTCAGTTTGGGGATTGGAAAGTAGATCAAGTTCAGATGAAGTTGAAGAATTAGCATCAGTACCAATCGATGGTATAATTACAGATTTAAAAGTTTTTGAAAATAATAATAAACCAATGATAGTAGCTTCAACATCTAAAGGATCATTACATTTATTCTCAATATATAATTTACCATCAAAATTTGAATATTTAGGTTATCAACAGCAAATAAATAATAGATCTTTGGTATCAAGAAATAGTGATGACAGTACTTATGACATTTGTAATATATTTAAAGAAAAATCATGTGATCCAATAAATAAAAACTCAAGTTTAAATTCAATAGATATTAGTTATGATCAACAACACCTTATTACAGTTGGAAATGATGGTTTTATGAGCTTATTATCATTAGATTCACTTTTACCAATTTATACAAATAGTAAGTAAAATATAGATTTGTAATGCAGTTTTACCCTTTTTTTATTAGAAAGTTTTGTTAATTAAGTTTTTTATTAATAGGATATATTGATGGATTAGGAGTTAATGTTGTAAAATCAATTTCAAATAGTCAGGTTATAACATCTGGTGAAAACCCAATAATAAAGTTTTGGGATTTTAGAGCAAATTCAACTACACCAACAAAAATAATTAAAACTCAAAGTCCAAGAATTAATAGTTTAGAAGTTCACCAAGATCAACAACATATTATTGCAGCAGGTGGTTCTGATGGTAGAGTTACATTATTTGATATTAGAAGTGGAGATTACCCAATTGATCAAAATAAAAACCATAATTCAGATGGTGTGTATTTATTATTAATAATATTATTGGTATTAAAAAAAACTAACAATTATTTTTATTTATTTTTAGTTTGGGAATTATCATTTAATAAATCAAATCCAAATCAATTATATTCATGTTCAGAAGATGGTTCTATTTATCAATATTCATATAGTAACGATAACTTTATGAGAGCAGATGACGATAATACATTCGATTTATATAATAAAGAAGTTACACCATTACAATTACCAGGATGCATTGGCTCAATTGATTCGTTTGACATCAACTCAAATATTAATCGTTTAATTTGCTGTTCGACAACTTCCCAATGTTTAATTGTTAAATCGATTTAAAATAGTTTAAATAAAATTATTTTTTTCTTTTAATTTTTTTAATGTAAAAAAGCTATATATAAAATATATTATTTTATTTATAAATTTTTATTAAATTGTTTAATATAGCATATTAATTTTGCAATTAATGGTGATTTCTTGTATTCTATTGCTAATTTAATTGTATCGTTTAAAAGTTTTAATATTATTTGATTGTCGCCTAATAGTTTTGAAAGTTGCTGTATTATTATATCATAATTGTCTTTGGTTGCCCTTCTAATTTCTTATGTACAAAATTTAATAATATTCATATTGTTTTCATTTTGAGATACTTCGAAGAAAATTGGAGATAATGGTGATGTTTTTGGTGTTAATGGGGTTGTATTTATATTTCCATTGATATTCGATGCACCGTTTGTTGCTGGGGTTGGTGGTATAGTTATGCTTGGATTTGGTAAAAGTTCATTGGTTGTCTTTGTTGTTGATGGTCGTGGTGAGGTGGGTAATAGATGATTGGTTGGTGATGCTTGAATAGGTGGCTGTGTGGAAGCTCCGGTATTTGAAAGTGCTGGAATACTACCAGTTATTAATATTGGTTCTGAATTAATTGGTGGAGATGTGGTAACGTTTGTTGGTGTGGTAATATTATTATTTTGATAGTTATTTGTTGGGGGCGAGCTATTAATTGGTAGATTGTTAATATCTTTAGTTGAAATTGGTGTTGTGGGTTGGGTCGATATAGGTTGTGGTTGGGATTGTTGTTGTTGTGGTGTTGGTGGTTGGGATTGCTGTTGTTGTGGTGGATATAATGGAGTTGGATAAGCCCTTCCAGAAAATCTTCTTCTTTTATTCTGATTGGGTTGTTTTGATTTGTCACCATCAAATAAGGGATTGCTTCCACCAGTATCATCAGCTTCATCAATTGACATTGCAAATCTTGGACCTTTTTCTTTTCTATAGGGATTACCAAATAAAGGGGTGTTTGGTTTTTTATCGTCATCAATATCTCTTAGTGTTTCACGCTTGCTTATCGTTTCGTGATAATTGCCCATTTGCGATATTGGTAAATGATGCTTGGCTTCGTCTTTTTGAATCTTTTTCTTAAATATATGATCCTTCATTTTATCTAGTTGATTTAATAATTGAGTTCTATTTATATCAAAAACATTTCTTTGCAATATACTTTGGTTGTTGGATGAGGAAGATGATGATTGCTCAGAAAGCTCTTGTGATAGCTCAGAGCTATCGTTTTCTGTTTCTTGTTGAATTAATTCTGATAAAATGTCGCTGGAATAGCCTGAATCTAAAATATGGTGAAAACTTTTACCAAGGTTTGAATGTTTATTTTTTTGTTGCTCCTGTTGTTGCTTTTGTTGTTGCTGTTGCTGTTGTTGATATTGCTGAAATGATTGCTGTTGTTGCTGCTGCTGTTGCTGTTTGGAGTTTATTACACGTTCAGACTCTGTTTTGGATATTGATTGTGATTTAATTTTTTTGATCATGTTGTTAATAAAATTTGAAAATTGTGCATCAATGTTATCTGGAACCAAATTGATTTGACAGAATCTTTTTAATGCATTTCTTAGTGGGTGTATATAGTATGGTGGTATGGATAATAAATAACTTTCAAACTCTTGTCTCCATTTAGCTGGTGGTGCTGTTTTAAATTGACTAAAATCATCCAATAATGCCCATAATCTTGGATAATTATAGGGAAATATAAAAAGATTATAACTATTACCTGCAGAATTTAAACGAAGACACCCAAATGGTTCACCCTGACCTGACGCCTGTTGACTATTTGACATATAAACATGAACACATTGAATTTTATTTGTTAAAAGGTACTGTGTGACAGAACAAGGCTCCAATTCATATTTGTCAAATGGAAAATTTTCAGGAATATGGGTATCACATTCTAGAATACTATAACGTATAATTGGGTGAGCAGTACGTGCTGGTAGTGAAAGTGATGTTAAGTCTGGATAATAATTTTCTGGTATTGGCCAAAAACCACCTTGGCCTCTAACATATAACATTTTATGTAGTGCATTTGGTAAAGTTCCATTTTTTTGTTGTTGTTGTAAAGGTAATGGCTCGAAACTAATGACAACACCGTTTTGAAGTTTTTGCATTAAACTCTCAACTTGTTGGATCATAACCTTCATACTTGTAGCAACTTGACATTCCACCTGTAACATCGCACATTGGTGCTATAGCAGGTTCTGATGGTAATGATGTTTGTTTATTACTTGATATACCATTAAACTTTAATACAATTGAAAACAATCTTTGATCCCATCTAAAGGGCTCAATAGTTGGATCATTGTTTAATACATTTTTTGGTAATGTAAACTAAAAAAATATCTAATTAGTAACTTTGCGCATTAATGGTAACAATAATAAACTATATTTACATTTTCAACTATACTCATATTATTTGTTAATGAGCTACCATCGGTAAGTAATACAATAATAGCAGGCTCTATAAACCAAGGATTTCTACCTTGACCATAGTTATCGATTGATGATTGAATTCGAAATAAATTTAAATTGTCAAACGCTTTTTGTAAGGAGAACCCTAAATTTGACATATCTTTGCACACTAAATTCTTAACCTCTTGAATAAATGTATTGAAATTATCTTTCCATCCAATCTTTACTGCTGTTAAACTATTCTCTTCTGATGTGATTAAAAAGAATCTATCATTTCTCATCGATGCATCTTTTGATCTAATTTTTATAAAATGTTCAATTGCTGCTTTACAACAATCTAACAATGTCATACCATTAGTAGTTTTTTGTGACATAGAGCCACTTGTATCTACTACAAATGTTATTAACATTTTCTATTATTATTATTATTTTATTCTATTATTATTATAATTTTTTAGTGTGTGGGTGTGTTTTTTAAAAATACATAAGAAAAAATAATTTAATAAAATAAATAAATAATGATAGATATTTTATAATAATTACAAAATTTTATATTGTAATCTATTTAAAATTGATTTATTTAGTAGTGTATCTATTTCTTTTTTTTTTAATTTAAAAATGATATTTTATAATAATTTTATTTAAAAATAATAATAAATGAAATTTTTAAAAAAAATAAAAAATTTAAAAAATAAAAAATTAATTTTTTATTTTTATTTTTTTAATTTTTTTTTTTTAATTTTTTTTTTTTTTAAATTATTTCATTTTTTTTGGCATGTTCAAATTTTAATAAATATTTTAAATAGTAATTTAGTTTTATTAATAAAAATACAATAATAATAACAATAAAATGGCATGTAACGATCCCTCACATTCACATACAGTCGACGATGGCATTGAGTATTCATTAAATAGATTTATAGACACTGGTGTAATTACTTGTTTAAATGAAAAAGTAAAAAACTCTGTTCAATCTATATTCAAATCGTGGGAAGATAGACATGACACTAAATATTTTTTAGAAAGCTGTGATGATGAAGAATTAATTATTAATATTCCGTAAGTGTATAAATATATTTTTTTCAAAATTTAAAATAATGTATTTATAAAAATATTCTTTATATTTTTAGATTTGGCGCAGTGACACAATTAAAGTCAATTATTATTATTGGTGGAGATGGCGGATCAGCTCCAAGCAAATTAAAAGCATATACAAATAATAGTAATATTGATTTTGGAAATATTGGTTCATTTACATGTGCTCAAGAATGGAATTTACATGAAGATTTCGAAGGTGCAATTAGTTATAGCTGCAAACCAACAAAATTTAATAATATGAACCATCTTACACTTTATTTCCCAACCAATTTTGGCTCACCAACAACAAAAATTTATTATATTGGATTAAAAGGCGTATATACAAATGTAATTAAATTAAACAACTACCCCCATTTTTAAAAATATTTTTGCATATGACTAATAAATAATAATATTATTTTTTCATTTTATAGGCTAGAAGAGAAATTGTAAATACAGTTTATGAAGCAAAACCTCAAATTTCAGATCATAAAGCCGATTCCGGTGCCAATTTTGTATCTCGTGATCTTATGTAAATAAATTCAATATAAATTCAGCTTTTTCCTTTTTCAAAAATTTTATTAAATTGGATGTTCAAACCAGATTTTTCCAATATCAAACTATTTTTTTTAAATAAATATTATAATAAAAATTTTTATTTATGATCATTTCTTTGTGTCAATTTATTTTCAAATAATTAACCAATTTTTTTAAAATTTTTTTTTTTAATAAATAAATTTAAAACAAAAAAAACCAAATTCTTTATTTTAATTCCAAAATCATCTTTTATCATTTCACAAAAAAAAAAAAAAAAAAAAAAAAAATTTATCATATTGTAATAAGGAGGTTATATTGCATTATATTATTTCGATGTTAACCCCCAAAATAAAATGGCATCATGAAATGCCATATAAACGAGAGAAAAAATTTTTATTTTAAATAATTTCAAAAAAAAAAAATAAAAAAAAAAAAAATAAAAAAAATAAAAATATTGTAAAACAAAAATTTTCTTTTTTCTTTTATTTTTTTTTTTTTATTTTAGAAAATAATCAAATCAACTTTTATTTTATTAATATAAATAACTATTGTTTTTACATGTTTTATTTTTAACTTTTATAAATTTATTCGCACTTATTGTTTTGTAAATTGTGTGTTTTTTTTAAAAAAAATATATTAATAAACATTTTACTTTGTTTGTATAAAAATTTATTTTTTTGGTTTTTTTTTCTTTTATAAAACAGTCATACTCATACAATTATAATAGGGTATAATTTTTAATAAATTATCTTAAGTGTATAAATATATACTACATATACACACCACAGCACCATTACCACACACCACCCATTCAAACAATTTAGATACCCACCATTACCCTCAAAGATAGATTTTTTAAAAAATTTTTAAATTATTTTTTTTTTAATTATTTTTTTTATTTTGAAATTTTTTTTTAATATCAAAACACATTGAATATATAAAAATAAAAATTTATTACACATAAAATATATAATAATTTAATATTTTTTTTTTTTTCTTTTAAAAAATTTATATTATTTTTAAAATTCAGTAATACTCAATTTTTAAATTAGTATATTAAAATTTTATATATATTTTTAAATTGATGTATACAATAAATATTCATAATAACAATAATAATTTTTATAATAATACATTATAGGTAAATAGACAGATAATTATAAATTAACAGTAAAAAATTATAATATATTAATTTTTTTTTAAATAAAAATTATTTTTTTTAAAGAATGTACTTTTTTACGCCTCCCCAAAAAAAAACATTAAAACCAGTTATTGACGAAAATAATAGTAATAATAATAGTATTCATAATAGTAGTAATAGTGTAAATAATAGTAATATAAATAATATTCATAATAGTAATAATAGTGTAAATAATAATAGTATTAATAGTAGTGGAAATAATATAAATACAAGTTTAAGTGATAATGAACAGCAAAGCAATTTAGAAGATATACATAATATAAGTAATATACTACCACAATCAAATTATAATAATAAAACCACTACTACAACTACCACCACTACAACAGATAACCAGTCATCACATTTTCATCAAATTAATGATAAAATACCTAAAATCAAACCATTAGGATTAGAAACTTACTCTTTAGAAGATGAAAAATATTTATATAATATATCATATTGTAAGAGATTATCTACATAATAGTTTTTATATTTTTTATCTTTATATTAATTTTATTTTTTTTTTAATTTTTTTTTTAAAAAAAATCTATTAATAATTATTTTTACAGTTTCAAAAGAAGAAATTAAAATTTTATACGATTTATTCCACAGAATTAATTTAAATTTAGAAGGATTAACAGAGAATATTATCTTTCAAACATTATCATTTTTGGTTCACTTGCCCAAAGGTATAGATGAACTTTCCGATTTGTTTTTTAATGAAGATTTAGTATATAGAAGAGAAGTTGATGAAAATCATCGTAAAAATTTAAAGTTTAATATGAATGGTAGTAGTAAAAATTCAAGTCCAATAAATAGAAATATAAATATAGATATAAATATAAAAGATATTGATGACAATAAAATAAAAGCAACTACTACCACCACAACTACAGCAATACCAAGAAATAATAATATCATTGGTAATAATACTGATATACCATCCTCATCGGCAACTATAATGGGTGCAAATAATAATGAAGAGGAAATAAATTTAAATAGTAGTCATAATAATTTAAACAATATTAGTCCAAACCAGTATTTAAATAGTTTAGAGGTAAATTCAAATGAACTATCATCTATTGTAAATGAAGATGAGCATTCAACCGTCTCAACTAGTACCACCTCGTCTGTAATACCTCCATTATCAACAAATGATAAACAGCCAGAAGAAATTGAACAGCAGTTACAAAAAGAAAAAGAAGAAATGAAAAAACAATTACAAAAGCAGCTACAAGTTTCACAAGAAGAGGGTAAACAGGAACAACATGAACAAATTGTATTGGAAAAGCAAAGTTTTAAACAGGAGTTATTTACAATTAATAATACACCAATCTTAGCAACAGCAACATTATCATCTACTTCTACTGTCGACTCTGTAAATGAATTAGGTCAACAAATTGAGGATAAATTGCAACTAAAAGAACAATTACAGCATCAATTAAAAGTTGCACAAAGTACAAATAATTTAAACAATTTCTTATACAATTATACAATGTCAAGTGACTTTAATGTAACATCAACAATGAACAGCATAGGCAATTTATTAAATACCACTAATACTACTAATACATCAGTTAACGGTGATTCATATTATGGCGATGAAGAAGAGGAGGATTACGAAAATGAGGATACTCAAGAAAAAATAGAGTCTATAAATTTATATAAATCACAGTTTTCAATTATTCAAGACACTAATTTATGGAGTGGTAAAACTTTAAAAGAAGACGAGTTTGATTATATTGATAGTTCATCAGAAGTTTTGAAATATAGAATGATTATAAACTATCTATGTGAAAATTTATTCTCATTCATTAGAAAGCGTTATAATATACCTCCAGGCAAAAACCCATCTATCATCCATATTATCGAAATGATCTCAATTATGACTAGAGGTACTCTTAAAGAAAAATCAGAACGTAAGTTATTTTTAGCCCAAAAATTAAATTTTATACCATAAAGAATTTGTTATATTAATTTTTATTATCATATAGTTGTATTTAAAATTTGTAAAAAGAAATCAGAAAATGTTATATATAAATCAGAATTATTAGAATTGGTTCAATCAATTGATGCAGTAACAGTATTAAATGTATTTGGTTTGGGTAGTATTGGTTCTCCAGACGAAGTTGTAAATAATATTTTTAGAGAGGGTTTAAGTACTGTAAATTCAATTCAACGTACACCAAATTTTCAAAGATCCGATTCATTTTATCAAAAGTCAATGAGCTCAGAGTTACCCTTTAAGGATACATGTCTTGAATTAAAAGAATTTGTTAAAAGATCAGTATCAAACTCTGATATTCCAAGATGTTTTGGTTTTTTCGATTTAATTTATTTATGTTATGTTAAACCAATTGAAGATTATGTAAGTATAAAATTTAGAAAGAAACAATAATTTAAATATCATTTTATTTATATATTAAATCATAATTTTATTTCAATAGTTAAAATCAAGTATAAAATATAAGCAAGCATCTGGATATTTATATTATGAAAAGTATTTGGGAATTATTAAAGCATATTCATTACGTTGGTTTGAAGTCAGATCTGGATTTTTAATTGGTTATAAAAGATTATTTGTAAGTATATCTTATTATTATTATTATTATTATTATCTATTTTAAATATTGTTTAATAGTTTACTAATTAAAATTAAATGTATAAAGTCAAAACCATCTAAAGTTATTTGTTTATTTAAAACCAACGTAAAGATAATACCAAAGGAACACCCTAAGCATCATATGAAGTTAAAATCACTATTTAAAGGTTCTCTTAGTAAACAAATTGATGGTAATAAGGAGGCAACAGATTTTGTTCTTAGAAGATACGATGATACAGAACAGACATTTATTTCATTGAGCTCTCATAGAGCTTCGAATTTTGTCAATGCTATTAGAGAAAATAGTAAAGGTTCATATAGATATCATTCATTTGCAAGTCCACAAGAAGATATTCATGTTATTCCTTACATCAATGGTAACCATTATCTCAAAGGTGTTTATAAAGCTTTAAAGCATGCCACAAGTGAAATTTATATTGCTGGTTGGTGGATTTCTCCAAATTTATCAATGAATCGTACTGCAAAGAAATCAAAATCACCCGATAAATATCGTTTAGATTCACTTTTAATGAAAAAAGCTTCTGAAGGTGTCAAGATTTATGTATTGGTCTGGGATGAAACTATGATTGCAATGGATTTAGGAAGCAGAGGTGTAAAAAGTATCTTTGAAAAAATGCATCGTAGAAATATTAAAGTAATTAGACATCCTCATCTACTACCGCTTTACTGGTCTCATCATCAAAAGGTTGTTGTGGTTGATCAACGTATTGCTTTCATTGGCGGCTTGGATCTTTGCTTTGGTCGTTACGATAATGAATACTATTATGTAAAGGATAATTTAGAGATTAATTTCCCAGGTGCCGATTACATTAATAGTTGCATTGCTAAGCCTGTAAATAACTTAAAGGATTGTCTAGTGGATCGTAATACTACACCTAGAATGCCATGGCACGATGTTTCAATTGCATTGGATGGAAAAGCTGCTCGTGATGTAACCTATAATTTTATTCAACGTTGGAACCATGCAAAAGACTCTAATCGTGACTATAAAAGCTATCCATATCTTTTATCATCATTAGAAACTCCCTTAATCCCAGAACAACCTCGTGGTACATGTAAAGTTCAAATAGTACGTTCAGTTTGTGGTTGGTCAGCAGGTCAGGTATTAGAAAACTCAATTTATAAAGCCTATTTAAATTTAATTAATTTATCACAACATTTCATCTATATTCAAAATCAATTTTTCATATCGAGTGTTGGTTTTACTCAGCCAAATAATCAAATCGCATTTGCAATTTATAAAAGAATCGAGAAAGCAATCATTTTAAATCAAGTATTTCGTGTTATAATCCTTTTACCAGTTCATTGTGAAGGTGATATATATGATGTCGATACTCAACTCATTATAAAGTATACCTCAAAGTCAATTAATGGTATAAAATCGGAGCTCCTCAAAAAGTTTCCAGAAGTTGACATCGATCAATATCTCTCCATTAATTCTCTCCGTAATTGGGACGCTAATGGTGATATTATTTTCACAGAACAAATTTATGTTCACTCAAAAGTTTTAATTGTTGACGATAAAATTGCTATAATTGGTAGTGCTAATATAAATGACCGTAGTTTAAATGGTACCAGAGATAGTGAAATCTGTGCAATCATCGAAGATCGTGACTTGGTAGATTCAAGAGTTAACGGTTTACCCTATAAAGCTGCTAAATTTGCCCACAACTTAAGATGCAATCTTTGGGAGTATCACTTGGGCCTCATATCGAGCCCAGATCCTAGTATTTCAGATAGAATTAAAGATTTGGTTATTGATAGTACCTATCATGATATATGGAGAAGTATCGCAAATAATAATTCAAAAATTTATAAAGATGTATTTGGAAATTTTATACCAGAAACTTGTCGTTCAATCTCTCAGTTAAATAGATCAGGAAGAGTTAAAACCACCGAAGAAATTTTAGAAAAACTTTGTTCAATTAATGGTTTCTTAATTAACTACCCCCTAGATACATTTTTAGTTGACGACGAATCCCCAACTTCATTATATTCCGATATTATAACCTCAATGAAATTATTTTTATAATATCTATAAATAATAGTTTATAATAATAGCAAAAACAATATAAATAATCAAAAATATAAATTTATTAATCCCAAAAAATATAATATATATATTTTATTTATATAAAATTAATAAAAAAAGATTAATTTTTTTTTTTAAATTATCTTTAAGCTAAAGTTTTTTATTTATTTAGATATCTATAGATATTAATTATTTATAGGTAATACCAAAAATCCTTAGTCTTGGATATTGTATTCACTATGGATATATATGCAACATCATTTGGATTTCCAAATCCATATCCAAATAAATAAATAAAGGTAAAATAAATTTATTTTGATTAATAAATAAAAAGAATAGATTTACATATTTTTTATCATATAAAAAAAAGATATTTATTTATTAAAATATTGATGAACAAGCGAGGTAATCTTTACTTTAAAATTGATAATAAGGGTGTGGCCAAATGATTCTTTCTTTGCTGCTGAAATGAAATCTTCCCATCCCTTTCCATTCTTTGTAAGTATATAGCTATTAACTGTCTCTTTTTTAATACCATCTTTCCCAGCAACTACCTCAAATGTAAAGTTGCATGAAATTGGAAGGTCATAATAATTATACCTAAAAATAAATTATCATAAAACTATTAGTATTATAAAATTAAAATTTAAACTAATATTTAATAAAACCTACAAATATAAAGAGCTATTTTTATTATCATTGGTTTGACCATCTATAAAAAAAAAAAATTAGTTATTTATAGATTTAAATAATAATAATATTTTTAATAAGTACTTGGATATAATTGAAGACAAAGTGGACGGTTACCAATTGAAAAGTTTAATCTTAAAACATAACCTTTTGGTTGGACACAGAATTTATTATTCCAATTTTCTATTTTCCATTGACCTTGGAACTTTGTATGGCAAAGATTTAGTTTCTTTTTTTCTAGTTCTAATTCTTCTCTAAGCGAAACAAAAGAGTTAACTATTGTTTGGTGATGAGCAGATGATAATAAGTGCTTATCCATTTCCGATCTTTGAACCTTTCCTTTACAGCCTCCATTTAGTTTACCATAAATACAATCTACCATTTCATTAGCACATTCATTTGCATAATGTATTGGTAAAAATTCTCTTTTAACTTTTGAACCACATCTACATGTTACCGTGTATTGAAGACAATCAGTTTGATAATGCTTCTTTAAATTTACTCTTAAAATACTTGCTTTACATAATTCACATTCTATTCTTTTGGAGTCGCACTCTTTAATGTGCTCATCAAGTAAATTCTTTCTAACTAATTCGCACTCTTCATTTATTGGACATTTGATAAATGAAAATTCGCAATTCTTTATGTGTGTCTCTAATTCATCTATAGAACATTCGAATCTACATCCAAATTCCTCGTCTGCAATGTAATCTTTTGTATTATAAAACTTATTTGGGCAAAAGATCTATTTATTTATTTAAAAAAGTATTAATATTGAAAATCTTTATAATTATTAATATAATATTTATAAGTACCTTTAATTTATTAATTTGTCTTTCTAAATATCTATTTACTGAAATACTACCTAAATCGATTCTACATTCTGGACAACCAGTATTTTTACTTTTAATTGCTTCTGTACATGATACACAATAAATATGACCATTTGTACTAAATATAAGTTAATAAATAGTTATTAAAATATGTTTGTATTTATGTATGTATATATTTGTGCATACCATTGATAATTTTTAAACATAATATTATTACAAATATTACAAAAGAAATCTTCTTCTATTTTATCCTCTTCAATGACTAAAAGTTTATCAAAGATTAATGAGTCCATTTTTATTATTTTATTATTTTTATTTTACAATTTAACTATTAACTATTGTTTGAATATACACTATTATTATTATTTTAATTAACCAAATGAAAATTTTTTTTTAATAAAAAATAAAATATTTAAAAAAAACTTTAAAAAAAAAATTAAAAAATAATTTTTAATTTTTTGGGTGTTTTTTCTCGAAAAAACAATCTGAATATTTATTTGAGTATTTATTTAAGACACACTCCAAATTTTCACTCTCTTAATCAAATATAATTTATATTTATATTTATATTTAGGAAATAAAATGATGATATTTTTTTAATAAAAAAAAAAAAGTAAAAATAAATATTTTTTTTAAAAAAAAAAAATAGTTGAAAACAAAATATTTACATTTGTTCATTTATAAATTTTATTTGATTAAAAAATTTTATTTGTTCCTTAAAAATATAATACAATATATACCATAAAATAATTTTTTTTTTTTTTTCATATTATTAATTTAATAACATGCAACATACCTATAGTAAAAAAATTTGAAAATTAGTATTTGAAATTAAAATATTTCATCAATTATTAAATTAAATACTTACCATTCACAGAACTCACGTTCGGAAATTGAACCTGAATAATCCCTATCAATTTGATAGAATAACATTTTATTTTGACCCTTTGAGAAATAAACACCTAAATGTTTGAGACATTTTTTGAATTCTTTTTTAGATAAAGTACCACTGCAATTGTAATCATGAATTCTAAAAGCAGCGCTAGCTTGCATCATTTTTGTGACAAGATGTGCTGGTAAACCAACTGGAACTACAAAAGTAGCAGTTCTTGAATATGCTGAACCATAGGTGTATGAACCTCTAACGTATGGTGATGCAGCAATTGATTGGGCACCATAACCAACAGTGGTTGTTTGATAGGCTGAATATTGTTGTGGTGGGTATGCGCCCATTGGATATTGTTGATATTGTTGATAGGCTGTAGTTGAAGTAGTTGAGTAACCATATGGTTGTTGTGGTGGATAAGCACCTGCTTGTGGTGGGTAACCTTGACCTGGATATGGTTGAACTGCACCTGCTTGTTGTGGTGGATATGCACCTGCTTGTTGTGGGTAACCTTGACCTGGATATGGTTGAACAGCACCTGTTTGTGGTGGGTAGGCACCTGGAGCACCTGGTTGTTGTGGTGGATATGCACCTGGAGCACCTGGTTGTTGTGGTGGATAGGCTCCTGGAGCACCTGGTTGTTGTGGTGGGTATTGGCCTTGTTGTGGTTGTTGTGGTGGGTAGGCTCCTGGAGCACCTGGTTGTTGTGGTTGACCTGGATATGGTTTAGCAGCTTGTTGTTGTGGTTGACCTGGATATGGTTGTTGTGGTGGATAGGCTCCTGGAGCACCTGGTTGTTGTGGTGGGTATTGACCTTGTTGTGGTTGTTGTGGTGGATATTGACCAGCTTGACCTGGTTGTTGTGGTGGATAGGCACCTGGAGCACCTGGTTGTTGTGGTGGGTATTGGCCTTGTTGTGGTTGTTGTGGTGGATATTGACCAGCTTGACCTGGTTGTTGTGGTGGGTAGGCGCCCGGTTGTTGTGGTGGATACTGACCAGCTTGACCTGGTTGTTGTGGTGGGTATTGACCTGGAGCACCTTGTTGTGGTTGTTGTGGTGGGTATTGGCCTGGAGCACCTTGTTGTGGTGGTTGTTGACCTGGATATGGTGGTAATGGTTGACCTGGAGCACCTTGTTGTGGTGGATAGGCACCTGGAGTTGGTTGGCCATTTGGTGATGGAATTACCTGCAATTATAATTTGTTTGTTAGTCAGTATATTTGTATAATTAATAATATAAACCATTTAAAAAAAAAAAAAAAAAAAGTTATCGGATGTGAAAGGTAACTAATCAAAATTTTAATTACAACAAAATATTTTTTAAATTAACTTACTTTAACTGGCATTTGGCTGTAGTGATCAGCTGCTGATCCGGCTGGTGGTGGATTTGATGGGTTTTGCATTATATTATTGTATAAATAAAAAAAAGATAATATATAAATACAAAAAAAATTAAATTTTTAATTTTGTAATTAAAAAAAAAAAAGAAAAAAAAAATTAAAATTTTATTTAAAAAAAAATTTTGATATTTTTAAAAAAAAAAAAAAAAAAATAAAAAAAGACCTTGCACAATATATTGTCAACAATCATTTAATATTATTAGCCAACACCCTTTTGTAAAAATTTTAAATTTGAAATCCATAAGAATCGACTGTTTATTAGTTTTTTATGTTTTAAAATAATTTATTTTTAGAAAAAAAAAAAAAAAAAAAAAAAAAATTTTAATCTAAAAGTAACAACAATTTTATTTTTGGTTTTTTTTTAAATATAATAAATTAAATATTTTAATTGGATCTTTGGACAGCAATAAGACCAGCAAAAATAGTCATAACCATTTTTGGTTTAACTTCAACAATATCTTCTGGAAGAGCGAAAACAACAGCACCAACCTTACGAGCAGATGAAACAGCAAGTTTAGCATTTAATAAGTTATCGGCTTCTGAACCAGATGAGGTAACGAGTGATGGGTCAATAGTACCTGGTCTAATAATTTCAATAAAATCTAAAATTGGAATACCTGAGGCAATATATTGATCTTTGAAACCAGAAATGGTTTTCTTACCGGCACCTTTGAGAGCTTGGTTGGTCCATTCGACAATTTCACCATCACCAATTGGTTTGTCACTACCAGAGATTTGAGTTAAAACTGAGAGAACATGAGCTCTCATTAATTGCCAAGTAACAGAAAGAATTGGAGTCTTGTTTTTATCGAAAACATTCTTACCATCGATACCAACAACACTATATTTACAGTTTTTAGCTAATTCAATAGCATAGTTACAGTTTTCGAGTTTTTTCATTTCAGCACCCATAGCTTTATATGGTGGATAGTTGACTCTTGATTTATTAACAAGACCTGGGTAAATCTTATCGAATAATTGAATGAGGACAAGACCATCATGAACACCTTCATAAAGATTGTTGACGAATGGATCAACACCAAGAGAATTCATCCAGTTACGGAAAGTCTTTTCTTCACGAGTTTCTTCAATGATAACAACATCTTCAACTGGTTCTAAAGCTGGATGGGTATTGAAAAGATTGGCAACGAAAGCTAAATTGAGTTTTTGATAACCAGTAACAATATCTTTTGGTTTGAGGAATTTCTTACAACCAATTTTATCAGCATTTTCTAATACAATAGCAGCTCTCTTTTCTGGATTTGATTCATTAAGGGCACGGGTATCAACACCAGCATTCTTTGGAGCAATTTGTTTTAAGAGAACAGTGTAACATTCTGAATCCTTGATATCACCTGAGAAATTTTTAACTCTACGGGTTGAACCAGCGGCTTCTAAGTGATAGTTGAACCAACGTAAGAGAATTTCTTCAACTGGAAGTTTTAAGAGATCTTCAATGGTTTCTCCTGGTTTTAAGAGACGGTATAATTCTGGGTGATTGGTTAAATTGATACGAGCAAAAAGACCAATTTTGATAATTTGCCATGTAAGACCCATAATTAAATGAGCTCTACCTTCAGCAAGATCACCAGCACCAATATTTACTACATTACAACCAATAGCTTTGGCTGAATTAATACATAAAACTTGATTTTCATTAATTCTGAAAGCATTTAAATTTTTCTTATTTAAAACACGTTCTAAATTTAAAAAAAAAAATAAAAAATTTTAATTAGTTTCTGAAATATATTGAAAAAAAAAAATAAAAAAATAATTACCATCAATTGTATCTGGAACAGCATCATTAATTAATTTACATAATAAAAGACCATCATGACATGCTTGGAAGAATTTATCACCATCTTCTGAGATTGGAAGTTTACCTTTTAAGTCAGCATCTTTAGCTAAGCAATTATTGATCCAATCAATGTAGGCAACTTTTTCTTCATCAGAATAGGAGTGGGTAACACCAGAAGCAGTTGAACCAGAGTAACCACTGATAGTATTAACTTGACCAACTTTCTTGACGACTGAGGCAAAGGCTGGAGAGTTTGATGTTGAGTTTTTCTTGGTAGTAGCCATAACAGTTAAGAATTCATCGAATGAAATAGTACCACTATTGTCAGTATCAACTTCTTTGATCATATCACGAACTTGAACACCAGTAACTTTTTCACCTAATTGGGTTAACATTTTGGTTAATTCGATGGCACTAATTGATCCATCTTTATTTTCATCAAATTGTTCGAAGATCTTTCTAAATTCGTTGATTTCGTTGGCTGAAAAATTTGAGGCCATTTTCTTTCTTTTTTAAATACTAAATCTTAATTAAAGAAGAAAAAAAAAAAAAAAAAAAAATATTATATATATAAATATATAAATAAATAAATAAATTAAAAAAGTTGAAATTAAAAAAAATAAAAAATAAAAAAAAAATTTAATATAAAAAATAAAATTAAAAATAAAAAAAAAAAATATTTACAAAAAAAAAAAAAAAAACCCCAGGGCGATGTAATAATTAAATTATTATAAAAATTTTTTTTTTATAGTTGGTTTTAAAATTTTATAATAATTTGAAAAAAAAAAAAAAAAAATCAATATCATAAATATTTTTTTTTTTTATTTTATTTTTTTTTGGTTTAAATCGAGGTGGGTTATTTTATTGATAATTTATATTTTGGCAATAAATAAAATTCTTCTTATAAAAAATGTTTGTAGGTTATTTAATGACCTTTTTTTTTTTTTTTAATCAATTCAATTAATTTTTTTTTTTTTTTTTTTTTTATATTTTCAATATAAACAAAAAATAATTTTTATTTAAGAATTATTTTATAATTTAATTTCTCAAAATGTTTTGTAGAATATCAAATAGTTTTAAAATAAATTTTATTTTGGTCCAATTATAATATTACCTAAGAAACTAATTAGTAATTTCAGAAGTGTATTTATTTTCAATATTAACATTGTATTGCCAAAAAATTAATGCACAAAGAAAAGAAAATGATCAAATTGATTGGGATTTAAAGTTTTATAATAATAGTAAATTCAGAATAGACCATTTGAAGAATGTAATCAATATCATCCCTGAGGTCTAAAATTACAATAAAAGTTATAAAAATATCCTTTGTGAAGTTTAAAAAGATGAGGGCTTCACGTTAGATTAAAAAAAATTAAAAAAATTTTACATAGGATAAAAAACAGATATTCTTAAGAAATCTTTAAAAGAAAGAAATAAACTATATTATTAGAATTTAAAAAAAACTACCAGGTTTTAATTTGTAAATACTTTTTTTTCCTTCATATATTTCTATCTCTTAAATTTTCGATGTTATAGTTTGCTTGGATTCTAAAAAATGTTTATCTTTTTTATTTAAAACTTTGTATCCTTGTTTCATTTTTTATAGAGAACAAATAAATAATAAATGAATAAATATGAAAATAAATTCAACAATTTAATCATCTAAATATTTATTTAGTAGGTGATAAATTGCACCCAACTATCATTAATTGTAATAATACTTTAAACAATCAGTTATTTTCATCTGAGTCTGGTTGGGGTATTCTTATGTACCCACCAAAATAGTTTTCATAGAGATTGTTTTGTAAGTAAACCTTTACCTATCTATAACATCGCTATATTAAATAGTAACGGTGAAGAGGTTAAAAAAACCTTTTCCCTTGGTTCATAACCACTTTATATAAGAATGAAGATTTATATCAATAAACCATAGAATTTATAAACTGGTGATAATGGTAATTTGGATGATGGATATTTCTATATAACTCGTTATCAGTTTGTGGTTCAATGATAAGAGAAGAATCAATTGAAAACTCAATTAATAGACACCCAATGGTAAACAAATGTTCTGTTGTTGGATTAGACGACCCAGTTAAAGTACTAATTTACTAAAACGGATATTATTCGTCTTGGTTTTTGATGTTTATTAAATTGATGTTCAAACGAGGTTATTTAAAAATCTTTTTATTTTTATAAGAAAAAAAAAAATTAATTTAAAAAAAAAAATTAAAATCTTTTTTTTTTTTTTAAATTTTTTTTGATTTATTTTTTTTTATAAAAAGAACAATAACATTTATTTTATATTAATCTTTAGCAACATTTTTTTAGAATCTTTATTTATTTATTTAGTTTTAAATTTATTAATACTTCAAAATGAACGAATTTGTAAAATCCTAATTTAAAATATATATAAAAAATAAAATATTAACTTTATTTCTCCATTTTATAATTTAGAAAGCCAAAATTCCAAATATTTTAGAAAATATTAAATCTAATAATAGAAAATATAAATACCAAGCTGTTCAAGATATTAGAAAGATGTTATCAGTTGAACATAGTCCTCCAGTGGAAGAAATAATAGAGTGTGGATTAGTACCAATATTACATGAATATCTTTTAGATTCATCAGATCCAAAAATACAATTCGAATCAAGCTGGGCACTAACTAATATAGCATCAAGTAATTTCACCTCTCTGATGGTAGATTATGAAATCCATAAAACTTTTATCGATTTATTAAGTCTTAATACCCCTGAAGAGTTATTGGAGCAAAATATATGGGCTTTGGGTAATATTGTAGGTGATTCTCCAGCAAATAGAGATTTGATTATAAGAGAGGGTTTGATAGATAGAATTAGAGAAATTTTAAGCACTCATAATAAAGCTTCATTAATAACAAATATTTCATGGACAGGCAAGTTTATTTAATAATAATAGTATTTGGGTTATTTAAATAGAGTTTACTAACATTCTTTTTTTTTTAGTATCAAATCTTTGTAGAGGTAATCCAAGACCTAGTTTCGAAGATATTCAGCCTATATTACCAGTTATTAAAGATTTACTTTTAAAATATCCAGATAACGATGAGGTATTATCCGATTCGCTTTGGGCTTGTTCATTCTTAACAGAACATTCCCTAAGTGAAGCCGAAACTTTTGATAGTATAGTTAAAGTTGGTTTAGTCCCAATTTTAATTAAGCTTGTCCAACAAAATTCAAAACTTCAAATTATTACACCAGGTAAATATAATTTTAATTCTTTTTTTTTTTTTTTTTAAAATTAATATTAAATGTGAAAATTATTTTAAATTTTTAGGATTTCGTGTTTTGGGTAATTTATTATCAGGTTCAGATCAAGTTACACAACATTTATTAGATAATGATATTCTCTCTGTTTTTGAAAAGTTTTTAACCAATTCAAGAGTAGCATTGGTAAAAGAGGCTTTTTTTTGTTTATCAAATATTACATCAGGAAGTATACCACAAATTCAAAGAGTAATAGATGAGGGTATAGTTTTAAAGGCAATTAAAGCAGGTATAAGGGGTGAACACCAAAATATTGAAGTTAACCGTGAAATACTTTGGTCAATTATCAATGCAATTTCTGGAGGTTCTAGCTCGCAAATTGATTACCTCATTAATAATCAATGTATATTATTCTTTTCAAAATATTTCAACTTAGCCAAGTCTCAAGAAAATCTCTTCACTTTTTATATTGACTCTGTTATCATCCTTTTATACAGGAGCCAAGCATATTTAAAGTCCAACGATTACTCAAGTTATTTAAAATTTTTCCATGGTTCATTTATAGTAGAAAAAATTTTAGAAAAAGATTTTGGGGGTTATACAGAACAATATGAAAAAATTATTGTAGTTATCAATGAAACTAAAACTTTTATTCGTGATAATAAATTGGATTTAACATTTTCAGCTTTAGAAATTTTCGAAAAAGAATATGAATTAGATGACGAATTTAGTTTGAATTATGACAATTACAATTACGAAGACGAAAACAATGACGATGACGAACACGATGACGATGACGATGACGATGACGATGATGAACACGATAACTCTGACGAACACGATGACTTTGACAATGGCAATGGCGATGACAATGATAGCGATAGTAATTCCAATGATTGTCAATATCATTAGGTTAATAAATCAATAAAAAATAAATCAATAAACAAATAAAGAAATAAAGAAATAAAGAAATAAATTAATAGTATTGTATTAATAAAAATTTAAAAAAAAAAAATCAAAGTTACAAATAAGTGATTTATTTTTTTATTCGATTATATTTTCTTCATCACTAAAATTGTTTAATTGGATTAAATTTTCTAAAGCTTGATTAATTTTTTCTTTACAAATTGACCAATTATTTGAAAGTAAAGTTAGTTTTTGTTGATCAATTAATTGTTGGGAATTTCTAAAGAATTTCTCTAAAAGGATTAAAGAATTATCTAACGTTTGGATTGGTAAATAGTCGATTCTCCACCAGAATAAACCGATTAAGCAGGCTTGGTAGTAATTCTTATTAATTGTGAGCATTGAGGCAGTATATTGAAGACTTGTAAATGTTGATTGTGGGTCAATTTTATTTCTATTTACTAAATTGAATTGTAATAGCATATTGAATAGTGGTTTAAATAATTGTTCGAATGAAACAAAGCAATGGGTGAAACCATTTGAATAAATTAAATGTAATAATTGTTGATCGTTTGTAATTTCTTTAATATACAATTCCATTGTTAAATAGTAATTTCTAATATCATTAACATTTAAACTTGTTTCTTCCTCTAAATTTAAATCTTGAGCAGTCAAAGTACCATCTTCACAATTCAGTTTGATATATTTATAAACTTTTTCATCGTTTGTTTCCATGTAAACTGGTTTAACTTTTGATTCTGTAAAATAGTTAAATTGATAAAGTGTGGTATTGTTATTATCGATATTATCCTTAGTTATACCATTGTTTTTGATTGTATCAATTGTAGTTTGTTTAATTGAGTCATAGTTTGAAAGGAGTGAAAATTTGAACAAAGTTGTAAATGGGAAGTTTGAATTTTTTAATAGTTCTAATAATTCTTTTTCTTCGTCAAGGTTCATAGGGAATTTATTTTTTTGATCTGTACGAATTGAAATTAAAACATTTATAATTTCATTACTATTCGATGAAAATTCTTTAATAATTCTTTCAAATAATTTAAACCAACATTCGTGTAGAATTGACTCTTTGTAATTTGAATTTTTAATCTCTTTTTCTTGATCACTGGTTTTTTCATTATTATTAGTATTCCAAAGTATTAATAATTTTGACAATTCTACTAAATGTTGAATATTTTTGCTATGAGTTAGTAACTCATTAAACAATGGAACTGATGATAATGTGTCTGTGATTTCTATATCTAATATTGAACTATTGATACCAGTATCTTTCCATATATCCTTAATAATAGATTGGGTTTTATGTTGTTTGATAAATTGAGAATCTAATTGTTTTTCTTTTTCTTCATCTTGAGGGTACATATCTAATTTCATTAACATTTCAAAAATATTCATTTTAAATTCTACAGACTTCTCTTGATTATAACAATGATCCCTTAATTTATTTAGAATTGATAATTTTAAGGATGTGGGTGGTTGCTCTTGGCTTTCTAATGATTTATCTTTAATTGATTGCTCTGAAACTAGTTTAATTTGATTTAGAGTATTATTTGGTTTTTCAATTAATAGTTGATCAATATAGTTTAAGTAGTAGTTGATGATTCTGGAGTTTGTTTTTGAATAGTTTGACTTTGACAAAGGATAGAAATTAATATAAATCGATTTAATAGTTGATGGAGTTGTTGATGTATTATTTGAGAGTTCACTTAATAACTTCAATACAATTGATTTAACATTTTTTTCTTTTTCAAGTTCTATAATTTTAATTGGTTCAATTGATAAACTATCTTCTTCGTTGATGTCGTGTGCGCCTTCACTTTTAATGATATGATCATAGGATTCCAATAACTTTGAAGAAATTTCTAAATCGTAGTTTTTGATAAACTCTTTACCGCCAATTAAATCTTTGATATTCTCTAATTGCTTAATACTTAATAAATGTTCTTCGATGGTTTGATATAATAGCAAGTGGGTTTGATGATTAAAATTGAAATCTACCAATTGTTCTTTTTCGAAATTTTGAGATAATTCCCCAATTTTTAATGTTATGATTTGAATTCTATTCTCGATTGAGAGACTACTTGAATATTGACCGATTATTAAAGAGATGTATAGTGATTGTAGGTCATTTTCGTCAAGGTTTTTTCTATATTTTAAAATGACTGAATAAACTGATAATCCTCTATTCTTCTCAATATCTTTGGAGATTAAATTTTCGATCATAAAGAAATACATCTTTTCTAATGAAATGGTATGGATTATATCATCATCCCTAACTTCTTGAAGTATACTAATAAGTTTATTCAAGAAACTTATATTATCTTGAGTAATGCTTGACTTTATCTCTTGATTAATTGGATTATAATTTGAATTTAATAATTGTTTAAAATCTAAATTCTTTAATATTGTTGAAATATTATTACTAAAAGCTGTTGGTATGTTTGAGGATGATTTTGAAATTGGTGAAATTGGCGAGTTTGGAATTGAGCTATTGGTAGTATTTTTTAATAAGAAGTTTAAAAGTTTCTTTTCAGCTTTATATGAGTGAGATTGATCTTTGATTAATGGTAATAAATCAAAATAATATAATAATTTATCATACTGAGTACCATTAATTTCATTATAAAATTCTTGTAATTGTTGAATAGTATTGTTGAAATGTTGACGATTCTTTAATTCTTCAATATCTTGACTAGAAAGAATGAATACTGGAGCTGAAGGATTTTCTAAAAGTTGCCATTCAATATGTTTTAATAATACTTGATAAAAAGTGATATTATATCTTTTGGCCATAGAAACAGCAGTATTTAAAGATTTTACTTGGTTTGATTTTGCAAAAGAATAAATTGTATCAATTTTATAGTTTGAATCTTGTTTAAATCTATTGAAATCAATAAATGTATTAATTTCAGCTAATTCTTTTTCTTGAATTGAGTCAACCATTAAATTGTAATAGTATAATAGTAGTGATCTAATTTGATTTGATTGGGATCCATCTTGTTCTAAAGGTTGTTCGTTAATAAGGTCTTTTGCCATTGTAATAATTGATTCGATTGAAATTGAAAATAAAGACATTTTTGGAGATTCTAATAATAATAGTTTAAGGGAATAAAAGTAACAGGCTAATTTGGTACATCTTTCTTGGCTTGATTGGAATCTATCATTTAGTTTGGTCATTTCTATTAAGTCGTTGAAAAACTTTGAGCTGATTTTAAAATTGTTATCATCATTATAATTTAAACATAATAAATAAGATAATGAAGATTTCATATCACCATTTTGAAATGTTAATTTTGCTAATTCTAATAAAACTAATTCAATTTCATTATTACCAATATAGTTATTATTATTACCATTGCTATTATTAGTTAATGCATTGTCATTATTAAAGTTTAAGAGTTGATAGTAATATAATAAATTTTGATTAATTGTTAATAAATTTTCTTTTGCTTTTTCTTGATCGAATTCTTGGCTTTCATCATAGTTTTTAGATGTTGGTTCAAATAGTTTTAAAATTGAGTCTTTGGTTTCAATGAATGGTGGCTCTAATTTAATTTGATCTTTTTCCTTAATTATTTCATTCTTTTGTGATTGTAATGTTTGAATAACTTGACTTTTATCTTGATTATAAATTGTACTATTTTGATTTAAACCATCAATAAATTCTAATTGTTCTAAAGTTTGTAATAATATTAAAATACTGTCAGAGTCGCAATAGAGCAAAGAAAATGATAAAAGACTTTGTTTAGCTTCAATATCATCAAAATCTTGACAAAGAGCGAGTGATGAGCATATTTTCCAAATATCATTGAATGTTGATGGTATATTTGAGTTTTCTTTTTCTTTAATTAATCTTTGACATATTTTATAAGTAATATCATAATTTTTTTTAACTTCCATTGAAAACTTGGCAAGAATAACTAATACTATAACTTTATCATTAACATTGGTACCAATGTTTGAGCTATTATTACCACTATTATAAAAATATTCACCACTATTTGAAATACTAATTGTGTCACTATTCCAATCAGAGATTAAATCGGTAATTTGTAATATAGTTTCAATATTTAAATAACTATTTTTGATATTATTTAAAAGAATTTGAATTAGTTCAAATCTACCTTGTTTGCTATAGTCATCCATATCAATTGATAATATTGAGCCGGTGGTTTCTTTTTGTTTTTCTTGTAAAATAGATGCTTTTGGTGAGGTAATTTGATCTGGTGAATTTAAATTATTTGATTTTAAACCTTTCTCTAATATTAATCTAACTTCAACAGGTAATTTATTAAAACTAAAAGTTGAATATAAAATATCAATAGCTTTAATTAAATTAATTTCACGTAATATTTTTCTTGTTGGTGGTCTAATTAATTCTAAACAGGATCTAGCCTCTTCCAAATTCTTTGTATGGCCATAAGAAGAGGATGAGTTGAAAAATTCTTTAGCAGCATTTAAAACCAATGATTCAATTCTATCTGGTGATCCACAGTTGGATAAATATTCATTTGCTAAAAAGAATAATGATTCTGATAATAAATTCTTTACAAACAGACAGTATAGTTGGGTATCATCGGTATTTGAAAATGATAGTCTTTTAATAGATAGACAGTCATCCAAAGTATTTCTCCAATTTGCTTGTTTAAAATGATTCTTTTTTGCAAACTTGAAAATATTTGTTAAAATTGACATAATTTCTTCTTGTTGATTATCTTTGGTTTCATTAGTGATAAAATAACTTATTGGCTTTTCAATGTGATATCTGACCAATATTTTCATAGTTTGAACATATAAACTGTATTGATGTTTTTTATCGTGTAAGCTCTGAGTTTCATCATCCAATCTATCTTGAAAACTTCCTCTTTCTGGTAAAATTTCGATAATATTTGACATTGTATTTATAAGATTATCATTTAATTTCTTTTTAATATTAAAAATACTATTTAACCCAATTTTTAATAAAATTTTAATATCAATGTTAAAACCTTCATCTGGTTGTTCATCTTGTTGCTTTTTTTGATCGCTTTGTTGCTCTCCTTGTTGTTGTTGCTGTTGTTTTTGTTGCTTTTCAAATAATAGATATTTTTCTTTTTGATAATTTAATAAAAATGATTTTACTAAATTTAAATTATTATTATCTTTTGAATAGGTTTCAAAGAAATCAATTAAAAGATGAGGATTGATTGATAATAGTTTTTGGCATCTCTTTTTAATTAACTTGTAAACATTTGAATCATTTGAATCAGATAATAATAATTTAATTCTTTCTAATTGGTTTAGTGATTGGTAAGTTTCTAATGAGATTTCTATATCATTATTGGTTGAAATATTGTCATATATAATTGAGTTTAATTCTTCTAAATCTCTTTGAATATCTAAAAGATTTGAAACATTCTTTTCATTTATGGCTATATTGATTAATTGAAGTGAGTTGGAAATTTGACCAGACTTTCTATCAATTTCTTTTGATCTCTTTCTATACCATTCCTCTATAGTTGATGCAATATTTTTAGATGGTGAATTATTATCAATTGGTAAATTTGAATAGTAGTATTGATTATTTTGATCAATTTCTTGATAGTCAATTGAATAGATATCAATGTCATTGCTGTTTTGATAAAGGTTAATGTTTTTATCTCTGGCAGATCTAATGTCTTCATATTCTTTACCCAGTGATAATAAGGCTCTCTTTAAATAGGTTGAATTCATACGTTGATTATAATCCAATTGTAATACCTTTTCGAATATTTCTTTACTTTGACACCAATCTTGTTGTAATGATTTCTTTGGATTCCAAACATTCAATTCATCTGGCAATAATTGTTTGTAAATTTCTGGTAAAGTAGTTTCTGGGATCATTGAAAGAATATCTAAACGATATGGTAAAACTTGATCGCTATAATAACTAAATAGAATTGAAACCGCTTTAACATCTTCAAAATTAGCATACTCCATAGCAGCAGATATTAAACTACAATCTCTAAAACGAAGGAATTCTGAAGCATCAAAGTCATTTTGATAAATTTCTTGATATGTCTTTAAACGGTTTAAATAATTGATCAATATTAATCTGTGAATAACTAAATATTGATTATCCTTTAATTGATCTAATGACTGATCTTGATTAATATATTCACCGGTTTTCTCTAATGCAAACTCTAATAGTAATCTTGTTGATTCTAATTTTAATGGAATTCTAATATGACATGACCATAACAACCAGTTAATATCTTGAACCTTTGATAGATATTGTTTAATTGATTCATTTGAAACTAATGATTTTATCCAACGCTTTTGATGTACTAAATCTTTATCTAAACCATAGTGTTCAGCAATCAATAATGCATTATTATATTCTTTTTGTGAAACTTTTGTTTTAAATAGTTGCTCTGGTGTAGTTGATTGAAATCTAATAATTCTACGTATTAAATGAATTGGTTCATTATTATTATTATTTTTATTAAATTGTTTTTTATTTATTGATAATGATTTATTTTTTGAAAATATTGATTTGATTTTGTTATTGTTTGATTTTTGAACTCTTTTTTGTTTACCATCGTTGTCTCTTGAAATATTAAAATGAAATGGATCTTCATCATTGTCATCAGTGACATCACCACCATTAAAATGTCTTAATAAATATTTATAGGTTTTGATCATTGGTATTTTAACTTTAGATTTATATAAATCTTGAATAGAAAAATTTGAAAGTAAACTAACCTTTTCTTGGATTGGTGATGTATAGGATGTTTCTAAAATAAAAAATCTACCATTGTGGGCATTTGTTAATATTAGTGGTTGAGCTGATGATACTAATTCTGGATCATGAAGTAAACAATTTGTATTATCCAACATTGAAAATACTGTAAATTGGCCACCTTTATTACCAACAATAATTTGATTATCTGACCACCATGAAATATCAATTACAGTTTTTAAATTTTCAATAATATTACTATTTATATTGCTATTTTGTGTTGAACTGGTATTATTATTACCATTGTTTGTTGTGGAACTGGAAGAAGATGGTGTATTTGGATCTGAGGTAAATGGATATTGATTATAATTATTTCTATTGTCTGAATATTGCTGCATAAATGATGGTTCTTCAGAATTATCCCAAATCGGTCTCAAGTCTTTTGATGTCCAACTTTTAATTGGTTTATAATAGCTTGAGTTGTTATTATTATTTTGTGATTTAGTTTTTTTAACTTTTGGTGACTCTAAAACTGGTTTATCATAATTATCAATTGATACATCTTCATCTTCTTGATCATCGTCGCTGTCACTATCTAAAATATTTTCATTAGGAACTTTCCATAGAGAGACTGTGCCATTTAAATCCAATGCTAATAATTGTTTACCGTCATTTGAAAATATAACCTTTTGTAAAATAACACTCTTAAAGTAATTGCCAAATAAAGTGTATTTAATTTTTCTCCAAACCTTTTGAGTTTTACTTAAATTTTCAAAATTTTCATCTTCTTCGTTATTGTTGAATGTTGGTGGTTTTGAATAGGTTGTATCTGTGCTACTATTTAAATCTTTTTTATTTTCATTTGATGGTGGATTTAATAAAACAAAATATGGTTCAGTATCTGAAATTTTCCAAAATGAGACATACGCTTTAATTCTTGAACCTCTATTTGTTGATTTGGCTGATTTTCGATTGCCACCAATTGCCAATATATTGTTTTTTGGTGAAAAATGCATGCAACTTACTGAATGATGATATTGTTTAAAGTTTGGTATAGTTAATCCATTTGGTGAGCACCCCAAACCAATTCTATTATAATTATTATTATTTGAAGTATTACTATTTGAACTATCATTATCACCTTCCACTGAGGTATCATCTTTTTTCTTTCTATTTATTATTGTGTTATCGTTATTATTAATATTTTGATTATTGTTGTTATTATAATTGTTTGGCAACTGTTCGTTTTTACTTATAAATGGATGAATTGTAAATGAATTAAATGATGTTGGAATATGAAATCTTCTTAATATCATATCATAACCTAAAATTAACAATTCATAACTTTAATAATATTAAATTAATAAATGAAATTTTTTTTTAATTTTTTTATTAATAATTACCATTGTTGATCAGGATCTAAACTACATTTTGAATGACGAATTGCTAAATCAGCAATACCATCTTTTGGATTTAAACCAAACATACCAGGTGAAAGGATATGAAGAACTTGCTCTTTTTCAATTAAGAAGATATATATTTTACATCCACTTGAAGAAAATGCTAAGATATTATTATCTGGACTAAAGCATAATCTTTGCCATTGACTTTCTTTATCATTTTGAAATAAATCTATAGAAAAAAAAGTTAATTTTTTTAATTTTCAATTTATTTAAAAAATTTTAATTAATACATACTGCATGTTTTTTGAATTGTTGAAAAATTATCATTAGAACTTCTAAAAGTAATTTCTGTATTTCTTGTTGATGCTAATATTGAACCATCATAGCTTGATAAAAGTTTTGAAGTTGGTTGGTTTTGATTAAAATTATAAAGTGGTGAAAAATTATTTTGTTTAGTTGTTTGTTGTCCAATATTACGATATAGTGTTAATGGTAATGAATATGGAATTTTAATTAAGAAACTTGAATAGTTTAATAACTTTTTAAATAAAACTTTTTAAAAAAAAATATTAATATAATAATATAATATAAATATGATACATTTGATATTTACATCTTTGGTATGATAAATTCTCTTTATCTTTTTCATCGTCATTTTGTTGATCTGTATGAGTATCAATCCATTCTGGGTCAACAAACCATAATGTATATAAAATCTTTTTATTTCTTTGTTTTGTATTTTGTGTTGATAGTTGCTTTAAACTTTTATTTAATGGTGTATCTTCATCAACCTCTTGATCGTCTTCATAGTAATTAATAGTTGTTGTTTCAGATGTTGCAACAGTTGTGTTATTATTATTATTATTGGTTGATATTTCTGTAATATCTTTATTTGATGAGTCAACATCAATTTTATTTTTATCTATATCCTCCATTATTTAACATGTATTAACTATAAATATATATTTATATATATATTAAATATATTAATTTAAAAATTCATTAATTTAGGTGAAATTATAAAAATAATTAAAAAAAAAAAAAAAAAATTTGAAAAAAAGTAAAAAAAATGAAAAAATTAAAAAAAAAAATTAAAAAATTAAAAATTATGTTTTGTGGGGGGGAAATAATGATATATACAAATACACATTTGATTAATTTGATTTTATTTATTAATTTATTTTTAAACATTTAAAAAGTATAATTATGAGCATTTAATTATTTGTGTTGTTTTTTTTTGCAGGAACTAATGGAGAAGATAATTGATCATTTTCTTTTCTTTTGCTTGGATTTGTTTCATTATTTTCCATTTTAATATCCAAATCATCATTATTATCTTTATTGTTGACTAATTCTATATTTCTTTTACTTTTTGTTCTATTTACCAATTGAGCTTGTAGTTTAAAGTCTTTATCTTTGGATGTTTGTTGTTTTTTTCTTGTTTGTTGTTGTTTTCCTTCTTCAAATTCATCATTGTCATCTTCTACAACGACAACGAAATTATTATTGTTTTTATTAATATTGCTTTTTAACGTTGATGAAGTTGAGGTTTTAGGTGATTCCGATTTTTTTCTATTTTGTTTAATTGGGGATATTAATGATGAAGATGATGAGGAAGATAATAATATTCCTGATGATGATTGATTTGGTGAACTCTTTGGGCTAAGATTTGGACTTGAATTTGAACTCTTCAAATGTTTGGTTTTTCTGTTATTATTGTTAGTACTAATGCCATTTATACAATTATCATCACTAATCATTAATGGATTTGGTGAGTTGGTTAATAGTGATTGTTGTGGTGAAGATGATTGATTAAAATATATAGTGGAACTTGAATTTAAAAATTGATTTGAAGAGGTAGCCTGTTGAGCTGCTTGAATTGATGCTTGATCAAATGGTATATTTGACATTGAAAAGTATAAATATTTTTCTATCATAGACTTTAATTGATCTGGGTTGATTGGTTTGCTAATATAGTCATCCATACCAGCTTCAATACATTTAACTCTATCACGAGCTAAAGCATGTGCAGTCATTGCAATGATTGGTGTATGAATGCCCTCATTGGATTCTAGCTTTCTAATTTGTGCCGTAGCTTCAAATCCACCCATATGTGGCATTTGAACATCCATGAGTATAAGATCGAAATGTTTAATTTCGCATGCAGCAACTGCTTGAAGACCATTTTCTGCTAATGTTACTTTGTGACCAAACTTTTCTAATAAACGTACTGCTAATCTTTGATTAACAACATTATCCTCGGCCAAAAGGATATCACCAAATATTTCAGAGATTGGTTGAATTTTCTTACAAACTTTACTTTGACGAGAAATACCTTGCTTTTGGAGTATTTCCAACATCTCTGAAGGACTTACTGGTTTAGAAAGATAACCACCAATTAAAGATGATGCATTCTCGGGACATCCTCTTTGACCACCTCCGCAAATTAACATAATAACATTTGTTTTTGAAAGCTTTGGGTCTTCTGAAATTAAATCCACTATATTGGTATCGATTTGAGCGTCAATAAATAAAAACTCATAAGGCCTGTTGGATTGAGCAGCTTTAGTCATCATTTTATAAGCATCTTGACCATTATCAGTTGAATCTGAAGTTATACCAAACTCGAAAAGCATTTGACAAAGTACTTTAACTGTATTTTTATTATCATCGACCACCAATGTATGAACATCTTTTAATTTAACACCAATTGGAGTTTCTCCTAGATCTAAATCTGGTTTGGTTGGGAATTGAGCAGTAAATTCAAATGTTGAACCTTTACCTGGCTTGCTTACTACTCTTAGTTTACCTTTCATTAATTCGACTAAACGTGTTGAAATTGTTAAACCTAAACCTGTTCCACCATATCTTCTGGTTATTGAGCCATCCGCTTGAGAGAATGCTTCGAAAATTAAATGAAGTTTTTCTTTTGGAATTCCAATACCACTATCTATAACAGAGAATCTTAAAAGAACTTCCCCATCTATATATTTATCGATTTTTACAACAAGATCAACTTCACCTTCTGAGGTAAATTTGATTGCATTACCAACTAAATTTGTTACTATTTGACGAAGTCTTCCTGGATCACCAACTAAACTATCTGGAATATCTGATGCAATGTCACACACCAACTCTAAACCTTTTTGGTGTGCTCTCCAGGCCAATGTTTTAAGAGTATCATAAAGATGGGCTCTTAAACTAAAATCAGATTGATCTAGTTCTAAACGACCAGCTTCAATCTTGGAAAAGTCTAAAATATCATTAATAATTGTTAAGAGAGAGCCTGCTGATGATTGAACCATAGTAAGATATTCTCTTTGTTCAGCTGTTAGTTCAGTATCTAATGTCAAGTCGGTCATACCAATTATACCATTCATTGGAGTTCTAATTTCGTGTGACATATTTGCCATAAAATCGGATTTCGCCCTTGATGCTGCTTCTGCAGTTTCTTTAGCAAGCGTGTTTTTAATTGTGGTTTCTTTAAGATTATGAATCATTTCATTAATTGTAACCTTTAATTGTAGCATTTCACCTTTGGCTTCAACTGAAACAACTCTAGTGAAATCACCTTTTGTTACTGCTTTGGCAATTTCAGAAATTGATCTAACCTGTGTTGTAAGATTAGCAGCCATTGTATTTACATTTTCGGTTAAATCTTTCCATACACCTCCAACACCCTCTACCTGGGCTTGACCACCCAACATACCATCTGTTCCTACCTATTAATATAAATAAAATATAAATATATTATAATTAATTTTAATTAATTTTTAATTTTATAAAACCAATTAGTTTAAATTATTACTTACTTCTTTGGCAACTCTTGTTACTTCGGATGAAAACGAATTTAATTGATCTACCATAGTATTAATTGTAATTTTAAGTTGTAAAATTTCACCTCTAACATCTAAATTTATTTTCTTTGATAAATCACCATTCGCCACAGCAGTTGTTACATTTGCTATTTCTCTAACTTGATTTGTAAGATTAGCAGCCATAGTATTTACATTTTGTGTTAAATATTTCCATACACCATCTACACCTTCTACCTGTGCCTGACCACCTAAAATACCTTCAGTACCTACTTCTAAGGCAACTCTTGTTACTTCGGATGAAAATGAATTTAATAAATCAACCATAGTATTAATGGTATCTTTTAGTTCTAAAAATTCACCTCTGACATCAATTGAAATCTTCTTTGATAAATCACCACACGCTACAGCAGTTGTAACCTCTGCAATAGAACGTACTTGGCCAGTTAGATTAGCAGCCATAGTATTTACATTATCGGTTAAGTCTTTCCATACACCGTCTACACCTTCTACCTGTGCTTGGCCACCTAAAATACCTTCGGTACCTACTTCTCTAGCTACTCTTGTTACTTCGGATGAAAATGACTTTAATTGATGAACCATAGTATTAATTGTATTCTTTAATTGTAAAATTTCACCTTCAGCATCGATTGATACTTGTTTTGATAAATCACCTTTAGCGACAGCGGTTGTAACCTCTGCAATAGAACGTACTTGACCAGTTAAATTGGCAGCCATAGTATTTACATTATCGGTTAAACCTTTCCATACACCTCCGACACCTTTAACTTCAGCTTGGCCACCTAAAATACCTTGGGTACCTACTTCTCTAGCAACCCTAGTAACTTCGGATGAAAATGATTTTAATTGGTCAACCATAGTATTAATGGTATTCTTTAGTTCACAAATTTCACCTTGGGCATCGATTGTAATTTTCTTTGATAAATCACCACAAGCTACAGCGGTTGTAACCTCTGCAATAGAACGTACTTGACCAGTTAAATTGGCAGCCATAGTATTTACATTATCGGTTAAACCTTTCCATACACCTCCAACTCCTTTAACTTCGGCTTGACCACCCAAAATACCCTCGGTACCAACCTATGATAACAAATAAAAAGAATATATTAATATTTTTAAATTTATAATTTATAATTTATAATTTATAATTTAATAATTTAAATGCATACCTCTTTTGAAACTCTCGTGACTTCAGATGAAAAAGATTTTAATTGCTCAACCATAGTATTAATAGTATTTTTTAATTCTAAAAATTCACCCTTGACATTAATGGAAATTTTCTTTGACAAATCACCACAAGCTACTGCTGTGGTAACTTCGGCAATGGCTCTAACTTGACTTGTAAGATTAGCAGCCATAGTATTTACATTCTCTGTTAAATCTTTCCATACACCATTAACACCATAACCCTCTCCAACTATTTGAGCTTGACCACCTAAAATACCTTCAGTACCTACTTCTCTAGCAACTCTAGTGACTTCGGATGAAAATGATTTTAATTGGTCAACCATAATATTAATAGTATTTTTTAATTGTAAAATTTCACCTTGAGCATTTATAGAAATTTGTTTTGATAAATCACCATTTGCTACAGCGGTTGTAACTTCTGCAATAGAACGTACTTGGCCAGTTAGATTAGCAGCCATAGTATTTACATTATCGGTTAAGTCTTTCCATACACCATCTACACCTTTAACTTCGGCTTGACCGCCCAAAATACCTTCGGTACCTACTTCTCTAGCTACTCTAGTTACTTCGGATGAAAATGACTTTAATTGGTCAACCATAGTATTAATAGTACTTTTAAGTTGTAAAATTTCACCTTCAGCATCGATTGATACTTGTTTAGATAAATCACCACTGGCAACAGCGGTTGTAACTTCAGCAATAGAACGTACTTGACTTGTAAGATTAGCCGCCATAGTATTTACATTATCAGTTAAACCTTTCCATACACCTCCGACACCTTGAACCTCAGCTTGACCACCCAATTTACCTTCAGTACCTACTTCCTTTGCAACTCTGGTGACCTCTGATGAAAATGATTTTAATTGATCAACCATAGTATTAATAGTACTTTTAAGTTGTAAAATTTCACCTTGAGCATTAATAGATACTTTTTTTGATAAATCACCATTTGCTACAGCAGTTGTAACTTCAGCAATAGAACGTACTTGACTTGTAAGATTAGCCGCCATAGTATTTACATTATCGGTTAAACCTTTCCATACACCTCCGACACCTTTAACTTCAGCTTGGCCACCTAAAATACCTTCAGTACCTACTTCTCTAGCTACTCTTGTTACTTCAGATGAAAATGATTTCAATTGTTGAACCATAGTATTAATTGTATTCTTTAATTGTAAAATTTCACCTTCAGCATCAATTGTAATATTTTTAGATAAATCACCACTAGCTACAGCGGTTGTAACCTCTGCAATAGAACGTACTTGACCAGTTAAATTAGCAGCCATAGTATTTACATTATCGGTTAAGTCTTTCCATACACCTCCGACACCTTGAACTTCAGCTTGACCGCCCAATTTACCTTCAGTTCCTACTTCTCTTGAAACTCTGGTGACCTCGGATGAAAATGACTTTAATTGGTCAACCATAGTATTTATTGTTAATTTTAATTCCTGGATTTCACCTTTAACATCTAATGTTATTTTTTTTGATAAATCACCACTAGCAACAGCGGTTGTAACTTCAGCAATAGAACGTACTTGACCAGTTAAATTGGCAGCCATAGTATTTACATTATCGGTTAAATCTTTCCAAATACCGTCTACACCTTCGACTTGAGCCTGTCCACCCAATTTACCATCAGTACCTACTTCTCTAGCAACTCTTGTAACTTCAGATGAAAATGATTTTAATTGTTGAACCATAGTATTTACAACCTTAGCAATTCTTAAAAATTCACCCGATAACTTTTTGCCTTCACCCAATTCCAATTTTATTGTTTGGGACAAATCCCCTTTGGCTACAGAAGCAATTACTCTAACAACCTCTTCAGTTGGTTGTATCATATCACCAATAAGATTATTTACAAAATCGATACAAACTTTCCATGAACCAGTTGCATGGGGTAAATGAGCTCTTGTCATTATATTACCCTCTTTTCCAACTTGTTTTTCTATTCTTTTAAATTCGTTACAAGTTGAATCTGCTAATTCAATAATTTGATTAAAATTCTTTACAATTTCATTTTCTGTAATACTATAATTATTATTTTGCTTTAATCTTTTTGTGAAATCACCATCTCTAGCCATTTTAGATGACTTTAATAACTCTTTTAAAAAACTATTATTTATTGATGTTACTGAACTAAATTCTTTATTATTGCTATTTATAACATCATTATTATTATTATTAAAATTATTTTTATTATTTTTATTATCATTATTATTATAGTTGTTATTGTCGTTATTATTATTACTATCGTTGGGTGTATTAAAATCTATATTAAATAAACTATGTTCATTTTTTACTGTATCCCTAAATTCTACATTTTTATTATTATGGTTATAATTTTTATTATTTTTATTATTATTAATATTATTATTGAGCTCATTATTTATGCTTAAACTATAAAAATTATCAATACTGCTACTATATTTATTATTACTACTTTGTATATTACTATTATTACTGCTGTCTATGTTATTATTATTAATATTATTCTCTATTATATTATATTTCTTTTCATATTCTTTAAGTGATTTTTTTATTAAATCGTAGGTTGATAAATCCGATATTGAAAAATGATTGTTACAATGTGGGCAACAATTTACATATTGACACAAATTATTAATGATTTCCGATGCCATTTTTTTTGGATAAAAAAAAAAATTGTTTTAGGATTTTTTTTTTTTTTTTTTAAATATTTTATTACTATAATTATATTTTGAGATCCTATATTATTTGTTATATTGTATATTTAAAAAAAAAACTTTCTATAATCGTTTTCTAAAAAAAAAATTTTGAATTAAATTTGATAGTATCATAAAATAATGTTCAAAAAAAAAAATTTTAATTTGGAAAAAAGAAAAAAAATAATATAAGTTAATTTTATTTTCTTTTTATTTTATTTTAAATATTTTTTATAGTTTTTTCTTTTTTTTTAATAAAATTAAAGTCATTGCTTACAATTTAATTCCGTTTTTTTTTTATATATATTTTTTTAAAACAAAAAAAAAAAATTAATTTACCTTTTTTGAAAAGATTTTTTTAGTTTTTTTTTAAGGAAAAAGTAATTGGCATATGATTTTTCTAAATGAAGAAAACAAATATGATAATTTAAATAAAAGTATTTATATATAAACTATAGGAATAAGATAACACCACAATTGTGAAATGAATACTTTAGGATAATTATTAATTTATATTTGATATATGATATTTTATTTTATTATTTTATTATTTTATTATTTTATTATTATTTTTATTTTTTCACAAAAAAAAAAAATTTAAAACTAGTTTTTTTAATAATTTTTTTTTTATTATTATTTTTATTTTCTTTTTATTTTTAATGGTGCATACAAATGGTTATTGGTATAAATATTATATTTATAAATAAATATACATATATATAAAAAACTTTTAATTAATTAAATAAAAAAATTATTATTTTTTGAATTATTAATTAATTAATTAATTAATTGGAAAAAAAAAAAAAAATTAAAAAAAAAAAAATATTTTAAAAGAAAAAAAATAAAAATGGTTTTGTTTTAACTATGGAAAATTGTTTTAAATTTAATAAAGAATTGTCCAATCTGTTGATACATTTATTTATTAATATTGTACAATTAAATTATTTTTTTAAAACAAAAACTATTTAAGGAGGCCCTTTAAATTACATTTTTAAAAGATAAAAAAAATAAAGAGCTACAGATTGGTTTATTTTTTTTTTATTTTTTATTTTTTTTTATTTTTATTTTTTTTTATTTTTAAAATATTTTTAAAATATTTTTACTTGTTTTAGATATTTAAAATTTTGAAAAAAAAAATCTTTTTACGTATTTTTTAAATTATTAAATAATTATTTAGTTTTAAATTAAATTTCAATATTTTTTTTTTAAATATTATTTTTTTTTTTTTTTAATATTAACTTATCTATTTTTAATATTAAGGCATAATTATATGATTTTTCAGTTTAAGTGTCTCCTGACTTTGATTGGTTGCACTGTATTTTAGCCCTCAAAAAGAAAAACCACCTCTCTCTTAATCCATGGTCAACAAGGTTGCGGAATCGGTTCATATTATATCACTGTCAGGTTAAAAGGTGAGATATTAAATAATTTTAATATATTGCTAAATGATAAGATTGTGGCTATTGTAGAAGAAGCCAGCATTTTAAATGCCAATAGCAATTTAACATTGATAACATCTTCCGAAAAGGTTAGTATTGATAAAACAAAGATTCCTCGATCAAAAATTTTTATCTATTCTCGTGTATTCAAATAGACCTGATTTACCAACAGATGAAAGACGTTTCGCTTTCACTTCCGACAACGATAATTATTTTAGAGATTAAAAATTATCCTCATTTTTTTACCAAAATATTTATTTTTTTATAATATTTATTTAATTATATGCATTAAATTAATAAATCTTTGAAAATTATTAATATTTAAATTCATGAAAATATAAAGGTTTTTATTATTTGATTGTTTTTTTTGAAAAAAAAAAACAATAAAATTTTTTTTAAAAATTATATTTTATTATTTTACAAATTATTATCCTTTTTTATTTTTTATTACCCCTTTTGTAATTTATTTAAAATAATTTAATAAAATTTAAATTTATTTTTTTATATTTTTTTAATTACAATTTAATTTTTATTTATTTTAATTTAATTATATATTTTAAATATAAAAAAAAATTAATATTTTAAATAATCCCACTACCACAATATAGAGTCTATAGTGTTTGTGCAACCAATTAAAAATATTTGAGATTTGACTTGAATACCATCCATTTCATTTAATAGTTGACTAAGAATACGTTTGCCTGTTCCACCATCTTCGCTTGAGTCGTTCGAATCTCCTCTTGTAGGGCAAGTGAATCGATTTCATCGAAAAACATTATACAGGGTGATGAAATCTTGCACTTTTAAAAAGTTCACGTATTATACGTTCACTTTCACCTAACTAAACTAATATTTTAATTTAATTTCGATTGGTAATAAAACTACATTTCTTCAATTGTTGGATCGGGATATACCTGTAGTATAATACCATTGTTATTACTATTTGGTATTAAAAGTTTAATATATTGAAATGGTGATAGCTGGTTATTTAGAATTTCTGTTATAGGATTGATTTTAATTTGGCTGTATTGAACATTTTTATTGAATTTAAATATTAAATTTTCATTTCTAATTATATTTGATGTCATTATTGGGGTGTTTATATATATCGACAAATGATTTCATTTGGAAAAATTAGAAAAAAAACAAAAAATGCGCATTTAAATTTAGGAAAAATTTTAAAAAAAAAATAAAAAAAAATTTTAAAAACTTTTTTATTTTTTTTATTTTTGTTTTTATTTTCCAATTAACAAATAAATATTATATATCCAGTTTTAATTTAGTTATGATAAACCAAAATATATAGATATATTTATAGTAAAGTTGTATTTTAAATTAAAAAAAACAAAATAAAAAAAATAAATAAAATCTCTCTCAAAAAAAAAGAAAAAATAATTGGGTTCAATAGTTTTTAAATAATAAAGTTCATATAATAATATATAAACAATAATAATATACACTAATATGATTAAATTTGAATTAATTAAATCAATAAATGATTTAAATCAAAGAGGTTTATTATTGGGATCAAAATGGTCATCAGAACAACTAAATGGATTATCACCAAAAATATTAAATCAAGTATGTGACCCTGAGGAAGAGAAGAAGCAGTTCGATTTTAATAGCAATAATATAGAGTCATCTTCGCCTCCAATCGGATCCAACGAACATTTAAAATATTTATTAGCAAAGAGTTATTTTGATTTGAAAGAATATAGAAGATGTTATGATGTATTGGTGAATTGTAAATATCAGTTAAATATATTTCTTAGATCCTATTCCTTATTTTTAGCACTAGAAAAAAGAAAAGAGGAGGATATAATAGAACAACAAAATCAAAAACAACAGCAACAGGCACAACAGCAGCAAGCACAACAACAGGCACAACAACAAGCACAGGGGCAAGATCTAACAAACCCAGATAATAAAAACAGTACAAACAATAATAATAATAGTAATTTATTAAGTAATAATGAGGCCAATATGATTGCCAAGAGTTTAAACAATTATTTCAATTTTTTAAAAAATATTATATCGAAAAAAAAAAAGAAATGGATGGATTCTTATAATATTTTTATAGTATATTATTAAAGAAACAAAAAGAGTTTAATAATGCAAGACAAGTTTTAATTGAATCTGTACATAAATACCCATGTAATTGGTCAGCTTGGTGTGATTTGGCAACTATTTGCTCTGATTCAGCCGATATAGTGATGCAACTCTCCCTACCAAACCATTTTATGAAGGATTTCTTTTTGGCACACTTTAAATTAGAGCTACAGCAAAACAACGAATCATTACAAATCTATCAATCACTTGTAAAGACTTTTTCAAATTCAACCTATATTTTAGCGCAAACCGCTATTGCAAATTATAATTTACGTGCATACGATGTTGGTGAAGAGATATTCGAGAGGTTAATAGAGCTGGAGCCAAGCCGTTTAGAAAATATCGATATCTACAGTAATATTCTATATGTTCGTGATAAAAAAGCAAGTCTCAGTATGTTGGCACACAAGGCTATGAAAATCGAAAAGTATTGTCCAGAGACATGTTGCATCATTGGTAACTATTACAGTTTAAAGTTGGAGCACGACAAGGCGATTATGTACTTTCAGAGGGCATTGAATTTGAATGATCGTTATCTTTCAGCATGGACCCTTATTGGGCACGAGTTTTTAGAAATCAAGAATGTATCAGCCGCCATCAATGCCTATAGAAAAGCGGTCGATATTAATCCAAGGGTACTACAGAGCTTGGTATGGTCTAGGTCAAACTTATCAACTATTAAAACTACCACTCTACTCTTTATATTACTTTAAGAAGGCAATGGGAAATGGATTTATTATAGTTCACGAAAATAGTAACAATAGATGTGACGATGATTTAAATACTATACATCATTGGCTTAAAGAAATAGAAATCAATACCTCTTTAGATATTATATCAATTCCTAAAATATTTATTTCAATAAACTCATCGCCACTACTATCATGTAACGGTCAATCTAGTCTAATTTCAGCATTAAAAGAAGACTATTCAGAGTTTTTAAATATGGAATTTTATGAAATATATACCAAAGATAATTCATCAATAAATTATAATAAAATTATAAATATAATAGAGAATTTTTTAGAACAAACTAAAGTTTATTTAAATATTCAGTAATTTAAAATTTCATAAATTATTTGTATTCGATTTTAAATTATTTTTTTATTTGTATTTGTGTTTTTGTGCGAGTGTTTGGAAAGAAATAATGATTTTTTTTTTTTTTTTTTAATTTCTAATGTGTGAGTTGGGTATTTAAAATAAAAAAAGAAAAATATATATATACACATTCGCACACAAATTAACACACATCCACCCAAAATTGCTATATGAAATTAATTTCTCTATTTTTTTTTTTCTCTTTACTCTTTATGTGCATAATAAAAAAATAACGAAATAAAAAAAGTAAAATATATATTTTTTTTTTTTTTTTAATTTCTTAAAATATAACTTAATTTATTTTTATTTTTATCTTTATTTTATTTTTTTATATATAAGGAACAAAAAATACTATTATATTAATCAAATATTGATTCAATATATTTTATAAATCTACTTTGGTAATCTTTTGGGTTAACTGCTGATATTTTAGTCTAAAAAAGAAAAAAAAATTAAAAATTATATTAGTATTGAGATACCTTATTAAAAAAATATTAAATTTAATTATAAACTTACTCTATCAAAGAAAATTCCTTTTAAAGCATTTTCACCACGCTTTTTTAAATTATAAGTTGTTAGGATATCAATTAAACCTAAATAATAAACTATACCTCCATCACCTTCTTCTGTATTCGATCTATTAATTATATTGA